TTACCGGGAACAAGTTATGCGATTAAGACACCGAGTGAAAATCTCGACGTGCTTCTACCATACCGGTATTCAAAGAACCGGGACACGAAGTCGAGTCTCTCAGCCACGGCAGGTATTTACTCCCATGTACTCGGTATGGGGACACATTACGCCGATCGCGTATTCCGTGACATCGGAGCTGTTTTTCCAGAAATTCGAGGAATGCTCGAGATCTCCGTAGACGTGGTACCGGACGTTGAATAACAGGAGGGGCCCAATTACGTAAGTGTTTTCGTGCGAATCACGTTCCAGGTATTCTGTGAGGTATCGTTATCTCGAGATAGCCAGGAATCTCTCTTTGCCTTTTGAGAGCCTTGATAGCGTTTGTTCGCGGAAAATCTCGCGTGTTGTAACGCGCATACGATCGAAGAAAACGATTACGCGTAACAACTCGGACGGATTAAGCTAAACTTTCCCCCGGAGAACGAAGAACGTTCGATGTTTTGCAAATCGCGTAATTTGTTGGATGGATGCTGGACGCTTTTTGTCAGCGAGCAACGAAAGGAACTCGCCGGGTGATCGAACTACCGTAACTAGATACAAGGTAACGTAGGTCACGTTATCCCGTGGAATACAGGGAGGAAACTTCCTTAGTTAGAACAAGTTCGCATAAGTAGGTGATTCAGATTCTTGCGTCCGCAGAACCACGAAACGTGAAATACGGAGCAGAGGAACACACTCCGCGGAACGATAGGGGAGGGGCGTGCAAGGAAACCGAGTTTACGAGATGATTGTCCTAGGGGCCCTATTCATTCGACACGGAATCTCCAAGCGGATCTCTATTGTAGATTATTGCGCCATTGTCCATTGTCGCGATCCCCCCACAACCGAGCTCCTTCAGCCCTTCCTTCACGACGACAACGAAAAAGAGAGTCATCGGTGAATCAAGGCGAGTGGAAAATGAAAACACGTGGATAGCGGAAGGGAAATTTTCTATCGCGAGGCGTGCAAGAATTTCATTTTACGAAAACGAGACAAAAAGATAATGACCATGCGTAATTTAAATCTCACGTTTCGGTCGCGCGACGTACATTGTAGGTGTCGCTCTAATTAAAATCGCGTATAATTACAGGATAGATACGTCGGCTTCGGTGCGAAAAATTCGAAAGGAAAATAAATACTCTGGCCAAAAATGGCAGAAGGTGTTACGAAACCGTAATGGCTACGTCTCAAATTCATTAAACCAGCGGCGAGCTAGCGATCCCAGTAATTAGCCTGACGCAAAAAACATTTAATTCCAAATCCGAGCTCAGGCGTTTTGATCGGAATTCGCATATCGACTCCAAAAGGGAAACGACTCTGAACGTTAGCTCCCATTGCGTACTGTTCGATTAAACAGAAAAAATCCATCTGAGAGCGATTTAACGACATCGTCCTTGCTTGCTATCCGGTAGTCACCTGGCAAAGGAAAATCAGTGATTATGCGCATCCAATAGCGCCGAGTCATTAAAAAAAAAAAAGGAAAAAGAGGGATGATACGCGCAGAGCATACAAAAAGCTAGGAATAACGAAAGTCGTGTGCATCCTGCGGGTCGTCGATGCAAATCGATCCGCTCTCGATCGGCACCTGCGCGTGGGTACACGCGATTACATATGTATAACTTCGACGAAAAGCGGTCGATGGCATCGTATTTTAGATTTTATCAAGAGGACGGTCTACCTACGGTACCTTGATCATACTACGGGGCAATTATTAGGAACTGGCAAATTGTTGTCCCCGTCGTAATTCACTTTAATGGTTACACGTATAGTTAATGATACAGGATGCTGTCACACGTTTTATGCGTTTAGTTATTCAACGGCGAAATTGAGTTATGTTGTTCAAAACGATCCAACAAATGTAATAGCTTTTACCCTCGGCAACAAGCCGATCTTACTTAATTTCGAAATTAACATACCCTCTAGCGAATTCGTTCGAAAATAAAATGAACGTGTTTTACCAAGGAAGAAATTATTGCTGAGATCCGATGTATGCACGTATGTACATATATGTATGTACATATGCACGTTGGAGCAATGAAATTAGAAAGACTCCTATTTTCGTACACGTAAAACGTAAAATCGTTCAACTTCACCTGTATACCTATCGCGTTATAAGTCAAGGATAACTACAACCGAGATACCCATCACTCGAAGTAACGTTCCACCTTTTGCGGTCGGTTTAATCGCGGCCGATTTCTCGAATCGTTAAGCATCTGACAAATATTTAAAACGCTGAAACTGCAAACGCAAAGCTGTGCTGCGATCTAGGTGGATACCTAGGATTCCATGCAATCGCGTGGCAAAGTAATCGATGTAATCGAAATATTCATCCGATAAGGAATTAACGGAAGCACACGAGCACGCAGCGAAGTCCTGACAACGGCATAATTCGCGTGCTTCACTCACGGTACACGGGCATATATCCACGGTAATTCGAGAAACATAACTCAAGTCCCGGCGGAGCGCTACATCACGGCCACCAGTTTCTTGGCAGATATCACCGCGGCGCACCGTGTCGGCTTCCCTTTGCTACTTTACCTGCCTTTTTCCTTTTACCCCAACCCGTCCCGCTCCGCGCTCACCCTCGTGCCTTGTCAACCAAGTTTTACCCCTTCCGTCGTAGATTAACCGACTGTGACGACTTTTCATCGCGACGTGTGTCTACCACCTTCCTCGAACCGTGTAAACCGATATTCAAGAAGATCGCGGTGTACAGCAAGACCGATCTCGAGGTAGATACTCATTTTCGAGAGATCGTAGGATTATTCATGCAGAATGATTCTCTATCCGAGTGTATAACATCAAAGTTTGAAGAGAATTTGATTTTGTGTTAGCACCTTGTACACGAGAAACGAAATATACAGTCAATTGTGACTAATGAGTTTTCTTCTTTTTCTTTTTTTCCTTTCCTCGAAATTTAACTATATGTAAAAAAGAAGCAATAGAATGTATAGCAATTTTGATACCGATGGAAGTAATTATGTACGATATAATAACTGATTAAAATTCGAATCAAAAGGCATGAGATACACGAAGTGACGATAACACCTAATGAAAAGAAAATTCAATGAAGAAACTGTTTAAAGATATCGAGAATTTATTAAACATATCGTATTTGAAATATTTTTCTAATTTATTGATTATTCATTGAAGTTTGCGCGCGATACGATACTTTGCACGATCCTCTCCTAAGCTTAATATTCATAAAAGGTCAGTGACCATGATTTAAATTATGATATATCACGTAGAAGCTGACAGCGTGTTGCCATTGATTTAGATGGTCATGTTAGTCGCAGTAATTTAAAACGAAATTACCCGGCTAATTGAACGTATCGCGTTATGGTCAGAATATAATTACACCGTGATCAAGTTATAAAATACGATGTTACGTCTTTATAGATGTAACGTAATGTACGAGTTTAAATACTTGCATTAGACCTGGTGTTCATAACAGAGGAGCAATCATTCATATCGTTGAATGACGCGCACACAAAGAACCATGACAGAACAATAAAACCAGTATATATATACTTCATGAATCATACTCAAACCTTATGATATTTTATGTGCATTACCGTCTTACGATGCGGTATTATGACTTCTGTCGTTTCATCACATGCTCAAACATATTTCAAATAATAATCCTATATGTATTTTATCACGCAAACGTTCCATTTTTAATAAACGACCAATATTGCAATAATATTATCGTATTAAATATCTACGATAATTGATCGAGCATGAAAAGTATCGAGGCAATTTTCTCTAATGCGAGATAATCGAATAATAATGCATACAACTTAACAACAATATAAAATCCGTTCATGCAGATTCAACATCCCATCGCCCTTTTTTCCATGGTATTTTAAAGAAAACGGATCAATCCTTTGAGAGTCAATTTGAAGAATACGATATATAACACGATACTGACATTGATTTTCCAATACCTTGACTTTGACTAAAATTATGCTATTCATTGTTCCTTTGGGCATTATTTCCTAGGCACAGCGAAATAGGCACAATTTAAAACATCTATAATAATATTATAATTAATTGTACCATTTTATTATTCGACAAGTTACCAGACGTAAACTGAGATAACACTGTGGCAAGGGTAAGATGCAACGGTTGGTATCGAAGGTGGTTCCACCACCACCTGTCGACAATTTTCTGATGCTTGTTTCAATATACAAGAGGACACGTGTAATATTACACTATAGCTATACTAAATGTACACAAAGTGGCGTGTTCTAAATGCTAATCGGCACGAGAGCAAACACTTAATCCTCGTTCGTTCTAACGAAGTGAAAAATAATTCTGAATCCAAATGACGAGTGAACATCGTGAACATCTATTTTATCCGACACTTTATCTACGCACAACGTACGAATTACTCTATGTATCCTAATAAACATACAGTGCGAGCACATTATAATTCAAAAAACCACGCCTTCCGAAGATATAATTTACAACTCATTACGGATCTGCCGTTATTTTTATTTTACATATTATAAAATGGAAATGTTTTGGGTTAAATTACCTAAAGCTTTCTTTTCTCTTCCTATTTTGTTCTTCTGTATCGATAAGTCCTTCAAAAATCTTTATCGCTATCTAATTTATCATAATAAGTTGATTAGTTTTTTAACTAATATGTAATTCTTTTTATTTAAAATTTTTTTAATTTCAATATTATTATAGAAAAATAATGTAATAAGACATCCTGATAATGTAACCTTTTGATAAGTTTGTTTTTTTGTATATTGATACAAATGAATGAATCACAAATGAACACAGATAGCGATAAAGATATATAACGGGGAATCGATATACGCTCCTGCACTTACGTATTTACACAATACACAAATGAAATATAATGATTAATAGCCATCATAACTTCGAAGCCTTTAATAATGTGTTTATAAACATGATTCGGTTTAACATGAGATGGAAATACATGCAATAATATGATCAAAACTTACCTTATTGATCCGTTGTCCTTATGCTTGCCGATGGAGAAGGTTGTCACGCCATCGACCATCTGATTTGCCCACGGTGGTTTGACCCAGATCAAGTGCTTAAAGTGACCGGCGTACGCAGCAGGTAATATCCAGTTTTCGATGCTAATTTCACTATTAACAAAGACATAATTTAGTATCTTAAAATCGATTGAAATCTAAAAGGAATATTTTAATATATAAATATATATTAATATAATAAAGAATAATTTCATCGAAGCATTTTTCATTTTTAATAACTTCAACTAAGAGAAATAACAAGCTCGTCGTAATCGTTTGACTAAAGAAGAAAAAATGACCTTGAAATATTCTCATCTCCATTATGTATAGACCCCGTTTAATATAACTGTAACGCCTACTTAACCTACATTTTATATTCATATTTTATAAAATTTTTCTATCCATTAAAGTATAGTATATTAAACCGAAAGATTACACAAAAATCAATAATAAAACAAATAGAAAATGAATTTGTTATAATGAATAAATAATTAAGCATTATTAATTCAACGCATATGTACAGCAAAAAATGGTAAGATTGCACAAATCTTTTTAACGCGTACAATTTTTCTATAACCTTGTAACGATTTATTGATACCGATAATTGTTATCTTTGATACCTGCAAATAAAATATGTCTTTACATTTTCAATGAATAAACTATAAATAAACGAATAGGTAAATACGTAATTATAAAATCTTGTTAATATATATATGAAATTTCAAATACCTAAACAATTGATTTTTATCCCATACGGTGTTCGCCAACATTGTCTTCGGTATAAGCATATCGGGATGCGAATCTAAATGCACGAACGTATTTCCTTCGAACGGAAGATGTTTCGATCCCAAACACCGATATATAAATGGTAGAACCTAATAAAACAATGCAAAAATTCACAAAAATTTCAAATTTCTATCGTTTAAGTTTTACGTCGTACATTTCTAATTTCCAACGCTTTTAATCACGTGACCAATTCGTCATTGGCAGTTGAAGCGCTTGTAGCGCCCCTAGTGTGCTAACAAGGAAATTTAGAGAGAATAAGTTGCGATGTAAACAAACTAGGAAGACGTTGGATATTCGGAAACTCACCTCATCATGACCATCTACTATATATATTGGGATCCTTTTGAAATATTTTCTAGAGGATGACATACTTCTTTCTTAACACTAAACGTATATGAACAAACGAATATAATTTATGAAAAATAATTATGACAGATTTAGTAATTAACACCATACGACATCCGCGAACACCGTTAAGAGACTCCTTCACGCGAAAGCACGTGGTAACCGACTGAAGTATACTAGGCGGGCTGCTCAAACGATTATTTTGCGAATAAAGGACGGACACAACAAGCGCGTACCCCAAATTCTCACGAGACGAGTTTCGTAAGGTGGTTTTTTTCTTCTTGTTCTCCTTAAAAAAAACGCCTTAGAAACCTGATCTCTCTAACTCACAATCAGCACATGACATTGAAATAAATAAAATTAATTTACTATTTTTACACTACCAATATTATATAATTTATGATTCAAATATCGTACATGTTCGCATAATTTAAAATCAATAACATGAATATGATTAAACTTAGTATTTTCAACAAAAGAAATGAAAGAAATGTGATTTTATTAAATCAGACATTACTTAAATTAATTTTTCATAAAGAATAATATTTATATATTACGTATAAAAATTTATATATACAAACGTTAGGTTCCATTAAATTAAAAAAGTATACAAAAGCTTTTATGTGATATATCAAATAGGATGTGTAGGATATATTTCACAATTTTTATTAGATAATATAATTATGTACGAAATACAAAATGTTCTATGAGAGCAATAATTTTGCATATATTATTTCCATAATTAACAATTTGTATTTATGATTTCTCGCAATTTTTTATCGAAATTAACAATGATGTTAACGAACAGTTAACGAATACCGATTAGCAAATATCGAATAAACCATGTAATAATACATTATTAAAATGTCATTCGCGCACTACGCTTTATAAAAAAGTGGTTTCACTTATGTACTTTTACACAATATTTTTTAAATTTAAATTTACTACCACTTGCTCACAAATTTCTTATATAACGATCTAGTAAACTAATTTCAATTCCGATTTGTCATTAAATTACGAAACATTTCTGATTTATAAAGTTCTAAATGTAGTCGATCTGTTTCAACTCTTAATAATGATAAAAACTGATCAATATCCGTTTCATTAACGCTTTCATTCAATGGATAACGAAAATTATGTGTATTCTCTGAAAAATTATAATTTAAGGAATTTCTAGGAGAATATATATGATTTTCCATTTGGTTAGTATCAGGAACTTTATGCACATAATTGTAAAATGAAGTATCATATTGTGTATCTGCAGATTTTTCTGACCTTTGTTGTAATTTATTATTACAACAATTAGTATTGCAAATATCAATTATATCAGTTGTAACATTATCATCTGAATGTCTCTGGGATATATTTTTTACATTGTAATTTCGACTTTCATTAGAAACAGATATAAAATTATGTGATTCATTATTTATGCATAATTCTTGAGAAACAGAAATATCTTGACAAGACCTAGATGATAAATCTAGTTGTATTCGTGACTTTGACTGTTTTTCATACATGTTAGTTCCATCAGATAATCTATTGTCTGAATTACATGACGTGCCATTCAAATGAATTTCTGTCACTTCGTGCAAAAATTGTTCCTTTTCTTTAATCGTATCATCTTGCTTCTGAATTATGTTCTGCTTATGAAATTTGTGTTTTGCACATATTTTTTCATTTTCAGATTTATAATCCGGAAGAGTACTATTTTCATTAGAAGAAGTATTTGATATACTACTACACAAGTTACAACTTTCGTACTCTGTAAATTTTACTATTTTCATAGAGTCGTCTGAAGTAAATTCAGTTGACACTGAATTACCTGAATTATCAGGACTGTAATTATTACTCATTTTATTCCACTTATCATGATTAAGCGTTATGTTTTCCTCTTCAATGGTGATATCACTTATATCTTGAATATCGACTAATTCATTATGTAAAATATCATCCTTTAAATTAACGTTTTTATCTTGATCTGTATTATCAAGATATTTTAATGATTTATTTTCTTGTTCTGTATATCTATCTTTATCTACATCTTTATTGCATAATTCGTTTTTTATTACTGTTAATAATTTATTAAATGAAAAACTTTTTGAAGCTTCTAATTTTTCTATCAAGTTATATTTCTTGACTTCATCAATGAATGCCACAAAACTTACTATTTGCAATAACTTTTCTCTAGGATAAGGATTTGAATGTAAATAGTGTAATGCCGTATGATACTGATTTATATCTGTTTTCAAAATCATAAGGTTTGGCATATATGAATCTATTTTGACAGGGTATGGAAAGTATGTGTTAAATCCTGTTCCAGATTTTCGGTGGGAGCTGTGGAAGTTTTCTATTTCACTATATATTCCAAGTATATTTTTATTTGTAGAAATTGTAAAATATAAATAGGTATCATTTATTTCATCATCGTTTCGAATTTCTGGATAAATACATAAGAGAGCTAGCTTTTGTATTTTATAAAATACTTGAAGCATTTCAATATGTTCCTGATATATAAATTTTTGAATAGATTCTTTCATGAATTCCATTGTTTTATTTAATAATTTAATCTCAAAATCAAGTTTTTGTTTCCAAGTAAGTGCCTGTTTTAATAACATTTTCTCATCATTTAAACACAATTCATCATTAAATGTACTTAACTTTTTTACATGTTCGAACAGACAAGAATTTAATTCTTTTAGAACAAAAGCATCCACGTCCTCTTGAATACTATTTGATACAATTGCAGTATCAGCTATTGCATTACTATCCTCAATGTAATGAATTTCTTGTGCTGAATCCAGCTGACATATTTCATTACATATAGTATTCTTAGAAATTGTATTTTCAGAATATAATTTAACTTTTATAGAATTATCACATAATGAAGAATTTTCTGTATTTTTTCCATGAGGATTATACTTTGTATGTTCAACAATCATATCAATATCAGAACTTGATAAATCATCTTCTTTAACATCTGATAAATCAACTTTAAATACCACATTTTCATTACTTTTTTGCCAGTCAGACAGATTATTTGTTGAAAAATTTAATGTAAAATTATGTATAACTTTAGGTTTAGAAAAATTATATGACGTTGTATTTGTAGACTCTTTCTTATCTTCTTCAATACATTGAGATTCGTTTATTATATTAGTCTTTGGCATAAATAAAGAATTAACTTTTATTTTCTTTTGTAAATTAAGTGAATTTTTTGAACAAGAAACATTATAATAGTTATTAACATGCTTAATTATATTATTGTTCGTTTTCTGTGTATCAGGAAATGATATGTTATCTACATCTTCTTTATTCATCGTCTTACTATTTTCTGACTTTATATTATTATGTAATTCCATATTAGTATTAACGTTAAATTCACTTTCATCATTAATATCAGATTTTGCATAAAGTTTCTCAAATTCTGAACTGGAAGTGGCCCAAATATCATTTTGATAATTGGAAGGAAGTTTCAGTAAATAAAAACTTGAACCTCCAATAGAAAATAGTAATTGTTTTAATGTTTCCAACTCATTTTCCGCAATTATTGTTATAGAAACTCCATAACAACCATAACGTCCAGCTCTCCCTATTCTATGCAAATATGTTGGTGCATCTATAGGTAAGTCAAGATTTACAACTAAATTTACATTATCGGCGTCTATACCTCTTGCAGTTAAATCAGTTGTTAGCATTATTTTGCATTTGAAAGTTTTTAATTTATTGATAGCTTCAAGTCTCTCAGTCATGTCTTGATTTCCAGCAATAAAAGTTGCAGCAAACCCTACAGAATTAATCTTGTTACATACAGACTGAGCTCTGTAAAAAGAGCATATTTTAAATATAAACAAGATACATGATTAGTCAAAAGAAAATAAATGAAAAAAAGTGTAAATATATTTACCTTGTTTGATAATTTGAGAAAACTAAACTTTGTTTAAATGGAATTTTCTTAAATATTTTTATTAATTCATCTACCTTTATTTGAATCTAAAATGTAATATTCATATTAATTATAAATCAACTTAATATATTTGTACATAATTATATAAAATGGAAATATTAACACAAACCTGTTTCATAGCATTTGGATGAGAAGGAACAATTGTTACAAACTGTTTGAGTCCAATAAGAGTTAATTCATTGTCGTCTGGAGAAGCTAAAATAGGAGAGCACATATATGTCTGTAAGAAGATTTCTAAGTCTCCTGGATAAGTTGCACTTGATGCTATAACTTGTTTACTTAATGGTAATTTTGAAAAGATATAGCTGAAAATTTTAATACATTATGAATAACATTTTCATAACTTCGGTAATATCAATGCAGATTTTATTATTATACAAACTTAATATCTTTCTGAAAACTAGTTTGCATTAATTTGTCTGCTTCATCGAGAACAAACAATCTAACATTTTCAACATTTAAAAATCCTTCATCAATTAAATGTCTAATTCTGCCTGGAGCACCAACAGCTATCTGACATTTATTTAACTTTTTTTTATCACTCTCTATAGCTATTCCTCCTATAAATACTTCAACTTTTAAACCTGAAATAAAAAAAAATTTTATTTCATATTTCTACTCCTTATTATGCAAATAAATCTAATTTTATATTAAATAAGTAAATTAAATAAATTTAAATTTTTGAAAAATTTACCTTTCATTTCACAACCTACAGATGAAAACACTTGTGCAATTTGTACAGCAATTTCTCTAGTAGGTGCTAATATTAAGACTTGTACAGATGATATATCTATATTAATCATTTCAAGTGATATTATGCAAAATACTAAAGTTTTACCAGTCCCTGATTTGGCACGTATTATTAAGTCTGCAATATATAAAGTTACAATTTAGATGTTAAGATGCTAAGACATAAGTTACATAAAATATAAAATACAGAAAAAATATTATATACCAAAACCACATCTTCCTAATGGAATTGCTTTTAATTGTATAGGTGATGGCCTTTGAAAACCACATACAGATAACCCATCTAAAATCTTTTGGGAAAATCCCATTTGGAAAAATGTAATATCCTCCTGTATTTTAATATCCTTTGTACGTGGCTTTTTATTTACATCATGTGCAATAATATGAGACATTCTTTTCTTGTAAAGTAATTACAAAAATACTCTTTAAAATCCAATTTTACTATCAATGTTATATGTATTTAATAACATGACATTAACCTGCGTAAATTAGATTAACATTATATTGTAATGAATTTCTTATTTAATAACATAACCATAATATTTATGATAAATTACTTTTTATACCTACTTATAACTACATGAAGCTATTGGCGGGCCGGCATTTGTTTACGACAAAAACAAGGTTACGAATTTTTTTGAGTTATAATGGATATTACATTTTATAAAACCTGTTTTTAAATATAAGTTTTACTTTCCTATTTATTACTTGATTTAATCGATTCTCCAATCAATTTATATAATCTGGACAAATTGTACATTCAAGTTGTAGTAAACAATATTAGTATACGCTCTACTGTGTACTCAGTATTAATGGTGAACCTATAGTTACGATAAATGTAAATAATGATTTATTTAATATACAATTGTGAAAATACAGTGTAGAATTACATTTTAAGTAGTTTTTTTAATTGAAAAAGCATGGGTCGCCGTTCGATAAATACCACTAAAAGTGGGAAATATATGAATCCTACTGATCAAGCACGTTAGTAAATAACATAACCAAACAATTTGTTTTATTTAATAGTTATAAATTTACTAATTATTGTATTTTACTACTTATAAATTTATCATAGGTAAAGAAGCACGTAAAAAGGAATTGAAGAAAAACAAAAAACAAAGACAGTTAGTACGTGCTGCTGTTTTAAAAGGCAAAGATCCTGCTCAGATTATTGAAGAAATGGAAAAAATAGATCAAATGGGTTAGTAAAATATCTAATATTTCATGAATGACAAATATTAATAATCCTGTAGTATATACATGTATCTAATTTTTAGAATACAATGTTATGCAGCCACCACCACTTAATGAAAAAGTTTTGAAAGATAAACGGAAAAAGCTGAAGGAGACTCTAGACCGTGTCTTAAAAATGTATGTAAGTACTACTTATGTAACGGTTATTAATTTCCTTCAAAAATTATTGGTAAGGTCAAATCAACGTTCTTAACTAATATTTTTGAGAATATTATATATACATATATTTTTTCTTTTGCTTTTTCATAGGCTAAAGATGATCAAGAAAAGTGGGCAGAGTTAAAAGAGCAATTGATGCAATATGAACGTAAAAGAATAGATTTAGTTTCCTATTTTGAAGCTGTAAGGCATGCACAACAAGTACAAGTTGATGAAATTCCATTACCATCAGCTGGTAATGATATATCTCGAATGTATTCAGGTATTTACTAATATTTATGATAATATTTACAATAATATTATAATATTTCATATACTTCATGTAAATTATATCTTTCTAGGTTCCTTAACTTCACAAATACCTTTACCAGATATGCCACAACCACCAACTCATATGTATCCTCCTCATCCACATTACATGCCACAACATCATCCCCTGATGAATATACCAATACCACCAAGTATTTTAAAGAAAACAAGTGCATATGCAACATCTCCTTCTATACCCACACTAGCACCTAATAAGGAACCACCTGGGGTACCACCTTTTCCTCCTCCTGACCTATCAAGTGATGATGAAGACATATCTGAAGAAGTTAGTATTTAAATTTATTTAAAATTAATTAATGTATTATTTATATACATGCATACAGTATTAAACAATCATATGATTATGTACACAGACTAAAGAAACACTACCAAAATCAAGAACAATTCGATTTGCGGATGATAAAGAAGATAACAAACAAGAATTAGATAATAAAGATAAGGATACAGACAAAGAAAAAGAAAAAGAAAGAGATATGTCTAAAGTAAAACCAACTACTCTACAACAGAAAATGTTAGCTATGGCAGGACAAGATATTGATCAATTTATGCGTGAAATGGAAGTTGTTCATAAGAAACGAGAAACTGAACGAGCTCAAGACTTAAATGCTCGATTATCGTTGCTTGAAGCAGAAAATGAATCTAATTCGAAGTCTAACAATAAATCTGGCAATAATAAAACAGAAGAAGAAGATCTAGAACCCCCAGGAGCATCAGACCATTCATCAAATCATAATCAACATACATCACATTCTCATTCTCAACATACACAACCACACACAATGCCACCTATGGGGTTGCCACCTCCACCTTTAATGTATCGACCTCCACCACCACCATTACATTTAAGGATGCCTCCACCACCACCACCTCGTATTGGTCTTCGATTACCTCCTGGTAAGGATATTTAATGTTCTTTAATGATCTGTTAAAAATTAACAACTGTGGGTTTAAAAAATAATATCTAAAATATTAAACAAGTATTCTTTGAAAATATTTGTTATTAATTATAGCAATATAAGCTAATTAAAGAATTAAAGAATTATGGTTTACTATTAAAGATTACAATACTAGAAAATATCTATAATTATTGTAAATAGGTCCACCACCAGGTATGCCAAGGATGTTAAGGCCTGGTCCACCAAGTATGCCCAGAATGCCACCTCCACAAATGCAAATGCCAAACTTATCCAACATGACAAATATAGGAAACCCTCAAATGCCAACACAATCTGGAACAGGCTCACAACCTAAAACACCTAATGTACTTTCTGCTGCACCACAATTAATTAATAGGAAAGATAAAGATGGTAAAAGTACTACAACTATTGAAGCAAAACCACAAATTAGAAATTTAGCAGCTGATGTTACAAGATTTTTACCTACCTCTCTTCGTGTGAAAAGGGATGATAAGAAAAAACCAAGCACTCTATCAAGACTTTCAGAAAGGATACCAGAAACACAACCAGTACGAACTACTCAACCCAAAACAAAAGATGATGCATATATGCAGTTTATGCAAGAAATGGAAGGATTACTTTAAATTTGTAATACTTCACACAATATTAAATAGCAAAAAATTAAATCTTGTAAAATACGTTGCTATTATTATTGCTATAATTAAATAACTAATGATATATACATATATATTTGTTAATTTTAAATCCTCTAAATTTATGAATTTCATGTGCCTTTATTTATACATAAACTTGTATGAACTATATTGTTCATACAAATAACTAAAGGATTAATAATTATAATTTTCATTGAAAAATATTAGTATTGTATTTTCTAATAATTAATTTTAACAATTAGTAACTAAAAATTGCATATGTTAAGTATAATAATAGTAAAGACCAAACATGTAATACAAAATTAAAATTTAATATTTTTAATAACATATATTTTTAATATTATGTTCGTTTTTTTCATTTATGTTCATAATTGCAATTGAACAAAAATAATAGTTATTTAAATTTGTTAAGAATATTTATGTTCAAATTTCTTCAGCAATAATCAAATCTTTTTCATTTAATTTTAATAAAATCAACAATTAAGAATTAACTAAAAATTACCAATGAAAACTCAGTTATACTGCTAAAAATCTATATTGTAATTAAAATTATAAAATCGTACTATTATTAAAGCATGCGCTTAATGATCAATATGGCAGACTTGCCATTTCCGACAACAGTAAACAACGTCATTTCCTACTCTTCTGTAACGAGACAGAAACTCTTTCATATTTTTGCGAGTACGGTGTAAAAGTACTTAAATATTACTTGTATTTCGTGTAAACTAGTTATATTCTATATTTTGAACTTAAATGTAATGTAAAAAAGGATTTTTATATTCTAAAGTTAATTATATTTGAAGTGATTTAACTTAAATAAACTTCAACATGTACACAAGAACCAGACAAACTCCAGGCTATGCTAATGGTAAGTTACTTTAGGTAATTTTAAAGAAAAGATTAAATTTTTTATTTTTCTCATTGATATTGCAGTGCATTAAATATATTCATATATATTCAATATTTGTAATAGTTGAAGCTCTGTAGATAGTTATAATAGAAAAAAATCAATATCTATATACCGGCTTATAGAGAATGGCGTCCTACAACGAATATTTTGACATAGTTTTATATTATGCTTTCTCTCATTGACATTAAATATAATGTTCTAAAATAATTTTATTTTTCCTTTTACTTTTTTTTATATATTATTATGTATTTTGCATTTGTCCTATTAATTTAAATTTAAATATTTTAATACGTAAAAATATTTATAATAAATGCGTATAAAATGAATTATGAAGTTATAGATATTTCTTATGTTTTAAATGCGTTATTTGTTGATTTTATTAGTATTTATTTTACTTAACTAACACTAATAATTTTTTAAATTATATTTACAGTCAGAAACCAAAGTACTCCAAATATAGGATACCAAGGTCAAAACACTGTAAGTTTGCTAATTTAATAATAATTTTACTATATAACTTTAACATAAAAATGATAAAAAAGGCATACATATTTTAAGAACTGTAGTCAAAATAAATGGTTTATTTAGTTACACGTGTCTGGCTTTCATTCTTTGAATGTGTGTGAATAACACATTCCACACACAAAATACTTTTATGTAAAATATGTTAAATGAATGACTTATTAATTTTACTATATCATTTTATAAGTTTAATTTAGATGTCTCAAAAATTTATAAATTAAAAAGATGTTATTAAAACTTAAGTCTGAATATATTTGTGTTTGAAAATTTTAATAGATCAGTACATAAAATTGTTTTATTTTTCCATAATTATGTTTTATTGAAAACATTAATAATGACATATTTTTAATTCTACACATAAAAACATTAAATGCATTAAATTCTGGCTTATTTTAGTACATTCTAGAAAATTTTATGCAGTTAGTATTTTTGTATTATATAAAATACATATGCATTTGATAATTATACATGTAAAAATATTTTCAATATACTAGTGTATATAAAGAAAAGTATCTTGTGTACATTATTTTATTACATATACAGAACTTATTAGATTTTTATTGTGATATACTAATATTAAAATATTTTATATATACAAATAGAAGTATAAATTGCCCTAAAGTATTATTAATCATACATTTTTTTAATATTCAAAAAGTAAATATTTTAGTACTTTTTAGTACATTTAATACTTTGAAGAAAAATAAAAATAAGATGATTTATTTAATTGTATCAATTTTAATCAATATTTTGTGTGAACTGAAATATACTTTTATAGATATAAATATTATGCTTGTATCTATAAAAGCATCTTTTAATTGGTTATTGGCATAAATATATCATTTATTACTTGTATAAATATAAATACATTTAACTTATATGCATTAATTGTTTAGGGAGTATATCATTTTATTTGGTTATATTTTGACTGAAATTATAAGATATAAATAACAACACTACTTGTTATTTTATTATAAATGACAAAATTATTTAAGACAAAGTTAACAGAAATATATTAATATATATGAATATGTAATGTAAAAATATATTGCAAAATTAAAATTATTATTGTTAAAAATATTTTTTAATAAAGTACTTTTTCATTCATTTTTATTATTCTAAATTATATGATCTTTTCATTGCTTATTATATACTATAGAAATATCAATATCGTTACATTTTATAATAAATAACAACATTTATAAAGAATATTACATTTTTGTTTTATGTTATATTAATAGTAAAAAAAAAAGAATGGTAGAAGTAATTTGAATTCGTCAATTAATATGTGTAACTGTTCCATTTGTTGTTTCCAATATTTCATCCATTTGCATGTACTAATTAGTGGTCCCTAATTTCCCCTCCCCTGCAATGCAGGAACTAGTAGCTATACAACAATACCGAGGAGGTCTATTCAGCCAGGGACTAGTTCGTCAGTTACCCACATAGCATAGCCTGCCACAGGCCATATTTTTAATAACATACTGAACTGATGTTTACATAATATATAACAAATTTGTTGTTTGTAGTAACTATATGTTTTAATTTATATGTTTAAAAGTATAAACTCAAGAGACTTTTTTTAATTTAGCTAATATATAGACTTTTAAAATGTTAATATTTTAATGATTATAAAATACAGTTAGAAGATAATGTTAACTTCTAAATAAAACATGCTGATTTTTCTAAGGGAGAAGACTTTTTAATCCAAATATCTTTTTAAATTCCTTATTTCTTAAAATGTAACTCAAAATTACCATTAATGTCTGTTTTTATAAACATAATTAAATTATTTTTACATATAACATGTCATAAAACTAATATAAAGTATAAAAGCATGTAGTAGTGAAACTTCTGCTTAGACTTGAAAATTTTTATTGTTTTATGTTATCCTTATCTCATGTATTATTTTTTACTTTTTATTTTATGTAAACTCAGTTCAGCTATAAATAAGGAAATATTGGCTATAGAAGTAATTTGGCTGGTATGAGTTATGGGGGTAGCATTAAAATGCTTTCAAATGCGTATACGATGCTAGACCTTGGTGGGATAGCACAACCGTAGAGGTTCCTTGTGTAGCGGCGACCCACCCTATGTTTTGCAGTATAACCAGCCAGGAGGCTTTCAAGGAACCCAGCCTTCTTCAAATCAACAAAGTAATTATAATCAAGGAAGCGTACGGAATCCACAACCATTTAAACCACAGCAACCACAGCCACAACAACAATCACAAATGCAACAAGTAACAGCAAGAAATTTGCAACAAGGGAAACCACAACAACCACAAATGCAACTACCACCTCCAAGGAATCTACAACAAGGGACATCTCACCAAATGCAGCAGCAACAATTGCTACAGCAAATTAAACAAGCACAGCAGCCTATTATAAACTCTCCTCAAATTCAACCTCAATCACACCCTCAACCTCAACTTCAACCTCAACCTCAACCTCAACCTCAGCTTCAGCTTCAGCCTCAGCCTCAGCCTCAGCCTCAGCCTCAGCCTCAGCCTCAACTTCAACCTCAGCCTCAGCCTCAGCCTCAGTCTCAACCCCAGCCCCAGCCCCAGCCCCAGCCCCAGCCGCAGACCCAGGCCCAGGCCCAGCCCCCACCCCAGCCTCAGTCCCAACCACAGCCCCAGCCTCAACCTCAGCCTCAGACTCAGTCTCAGTCTCAACCTCAATCTCAAACTCAGCCTCAACCTCAGTCTCAGTCTCAGCCTCAGCCTCAATCTCAGTCTCAGTCTCAATCTCAATCACAATCTCAGTTCCAGCTTCAATCTCATCCTCAACGATTGAAACCAATTTTAAAACAACCTTCTAATATTCAACAACAAAGTGCAGTAACAGTACAAAATAATCCTGTTTCATCCTCTCAAACATTAGTTCCTATCCCAACATCTCCTTTAACAGCTAACTCTAATCCTACACCACCAATAAATAAAAATGTAAGTGAAGGAAAGAATGAAAATCAAGTGTCTGAAAGTGCAGATGCTGAAGTACAGGAACAGCATCCAAGATGGAGACGTAAGGCACCTGGATGTAAGTGTTTAGATTAATTCATTAAGTACACAATAATGTTTAATATTGTTTTCTTCAAATTTATTAAAAAAATCTCTTTGAAGAACATACATTTTTTTTTCAAAGAAATATGTATATATTATTAGACAAATTTAAAAAAATTTTAATTTTAATGAAACATTCGCAGATTAAAGTTATTATTGACATAATGATGATAATACACTGCGCAAATTTGAAGATTAAAATTACTGTTATGTGCTCCAGTAAGTTACTGTTGAGCTGTGACATATTAATAATCATTGTGAATGCTAATGTACTGATGTAAATATAAAACAAAAGTATCGAATTACGCCAATATTTAATAAACTGAATAAAATTTATATTTTAGTTAGGGTAAATAAGAGATTGAAACGACTTCGTTTGAATCAACGTTTAAAAAAAACATTACAACCAAAAAATGCAATCATGGTACTAAATGAAATGAAACCTGGAGTGCAATTTACATTTCCTGAAACTCAAGGACCTATGCCAAACTCTCTCTATCTTGTTCATGCAGAGGTATTTAAAATAATTCAATTTTTGTACATTTCTATGCTATTTAAATTGAATATTAAAGTTCTGAAATTATTTCTTTCAAAATGAAAATAAAAATACAAACAGCTTGATGGTAAAACATATGTTGGACAAGGATTATCTAAACCACTTGCTCGTCAAAATGCTGCTGAAAATGCACTAAAAGCTTTATTACTTGAGAAAATGACAGCAGCATCTATGAAAGCACGTATCGATGCTGAATCAGATGGACAAGCAAATCAATCTTCAGAGTCATCTAATACAGCAAAGGAGGATAATAACGAAGAAGCTGTAACACCAATGGATGTTTCTGTTGATGAAAGTGATGAAATTCCATGGAGTTCCTTAGCTAGCTTTGCATTGTATAAACTTTTCCTTGAATGGCATAATCAAGGAACATCAGTTCCAGTTCCAAGACCAGGATTACCATCACCTGCTAAAGGAATGAAAAGAGAGATTTCTCATGTCCAGAAGACTCCAGTTCAAAAAGAACTTCCACCCAATGCAACAAATATACATCCTGTAATGTTACTGAATCAAATGAGACCAGGTTTAACATATGTGGAACTTAATCGAGTCGGTAATCCACCTAATACAATGTTTACTCTTGCTGTTGATATTGATGATGTTGAATATACTGGAACAGGTAATGTAATGTAGTTTTATTTAATATTTGTAATATATTAAAGATTACATATTTATCATACCTTATTTTATGTTCTCCTTTTTATATATTATAGCAAAAAACAAGAAAGATGCCAAGAAAATAGCAGCAAAATCTGCACTTCTTGCTTTATATGGTTTAAATTACCCGGATGAAGTCAAACCAGTATCTCAAGATCAGGCAGTGGCTTAGAAGAATGCATAGCATCATCAATTTTTATAATATGTAAATTGTAATATTATGACATTGTTATTTAGTTTGACGATTTCAATTCATATATTATATGGATTACAACATTGACAAAATTTGATGATTGCAATGATAATACAGATACATTATCATATAAATAGTAAACAGTATAATCAATATACAACAAATACGTAAAAATTTCTTTTATCAATGAAATAAAATTGTTTTTATATATGTATTTAATTTGTATTTACAATAAATTAGTATTGATATCCGATATGTTATCTGACATGTTAGTATTGATTATCATGCTTTTAATATATTATATAATTATTTTATTATTATTATCAACAGTTTATTTGTATGCAAATTCTACCTACTGAAGATAACACAGTGATGATTATAATATGAAAGTGATTGTACATAAATAATTAATGGAAGTACAACTCAAATTACATGTTCACAAGAAAAAAATCTGTTTTCTCTAAAAAATTATATTTCTGTTTGTAATATGCAATTTTGTTTCTAATCTATCACATTCTATTGTATTCATACTGAAATGTTTATGTATCATAATAAATTAACGTGTACAAATAAATTTTATGCTTATAAATGATTATTATATATTAAAATATAAATTTTCCATTACTTTTAACGAAATATACATTTTTATGTTTGTTTTAATATTGATTTTCACATTAATTTTTATATAAATATTTGATCATTAACATTACATTTACGGACATTTCTTGTATACCTATCTTCACGAGCACATGTCGATTTGATGCATGACCGAAATTAGATATTTTCCTTTAAAAAGCAACATAATTATACACTATTAACTTATAAATGATACTATGAGATATATTTATATAAAATTTATAGTATTCAATAATTACTCCGCGTATCTTTTATACATACGTATATTTGTGAATATACTTTCTACGAACAGTTGATCTTTTAAATCTACTCCAAACTTGGTCTCATTGTAATATATTATTATTTCTGGAATGCATTTGTTATTATATTTTATTTTACAGATGTATGTTTAGTGTTTAGTACCAATACATTTAGCATGTATGCAAGTTTCCGATTTATAATGTTCTAAGAAATACAATTTCATTTGATTTTACCTGTCCTTACTGGCTTTAAAAGTTCCCTCTTGTTAGATCGAATGGTTCCAACTAAACTGGTACTTTTTGCAAGAGGAATTCCTGCTGTGATGTAAATATGATTTGGCTAACTTCAAAACTACAAATTGACCTAAGGATGTTGAAGTTCGCATTTCATTTTATCCAGATAAGAGAAACTATTTGTAACATATTTTGAATATATATCTACTATCATAACTTTATGCCAATTGTATGTGGCTTATTTGGTATATATTGCGTGAATCTATATCGGACTTTCGTAGGGAATTGCTCGTATATTGAAATATTTTCGTAATGAAATTTGAAATGCATCAAAGTGATGCGTTCCGTAAACCTTTTATAGTGTTGAAAAGCTAGCTGGTCTATAAAGTACATAAATGTAAGTGGTTGTTATGGCAACAATTTTCCAAATACTCAAGATTATAGTAAACTACTCATGTAAAACTAAAATATATACAAGATATGCAACCATTAAAAATAATAGTTACTGGACCCTCGAAGGTAATGTTTCAGTACGATAATAATAAGTAAATAATAAAAATCTTTTTATTATGTAGAAATTGATTGCACATTTTATTTTATTTAATATGCATAAAAATAGTGTTAGTTAAAATTTGTAATCGATATATATTAATATAAATTGAATCTAAATTCAATCTAATTTCAATTGTTTAAAAAATATTTTAGAGTGGGAAAACAACAATATCTAATTTTCTTGCTGATGCTACAGAAATACCTTATGATTATCATCCAACTAAAGGTGTTCGAATATTAGAATTTGAAGTACAAAATATAAATGTAAATAATAAACATGTTACAAAAGATATTGAATTATGGGACTGTAGTGGAGATCATAAGTATATATAAATATTTTATTTATTCAAAAAATAATATAATACACACAATCACACACACACACACACATATATATGCAATATAAAAGTATTTTAGATTTGAAAATTGTTGGCCAGCTATAAGAAAAGATGTGCATGGTGTTATATTTGTGTACAATGAAAAATCTAACGAATGTTTAAAAGAAATTCAACAATTATATGATTATTTTATCGTTCAAACAAAATTAGATCCAGAAAGATGTGCAATATTTTGTTATGACCCTGAGAAGAAAAATCCTGAAATATCAAAAACTGTTTGTGAGTATTTATACCTATGAAGTTAATAATTACTACATTCACAATGATATACTTTTACTTTATTATAAACAGCTTCAACATTTATGAAAGTATCCCATGTTAAATGCAATATAGAAAGTGGTGGAAATAAGTTAAAAGCTGATTTTTCATCATTTATAAGTACAATACTTCATAAAATGCACAATTATACAAATCAATAAAATAAACATATTTTTAATAAGAACATATTGTTTGCAAAATAATATTATTTATCATCATGTAGTATAATAAATGTTAACAATTTTCTCTACAAAATATATTTAAAAATTTATCAGCATTTTTTTTTAAATAATCAATTATTCTTTTTTATAAAATAATTATATATATTTACAATCTATGTATTATAATTACACATTTTCATTTTATAACTAAGTTATTTATGAATATTGTCTGTTGTATATAAAATTCTGTAATTATTATATTATTGTATAACATTAAATATATTGTATGATATGCATATTCTAATAATATAATTAAATAATTTTATTTTCTCTCTCCAAATTTTTATTTTATACAATTAATCCATTACCCATTTACAAAAATATTTTTGTAATTAAAAGTATATGTATTATTTCACTTGATATTGAAAATTTACTCAAACGTAATTTGTATTTAACACTATAGTTATTAAGAATCATGATTTATTAAAAACAATATCTTATATCAAATTTTAACAGATTGCAGAAATTATATTATAGTAATTTTGTACTAACGGAATTTTCATTACTTTTTTGCTTCATTAGATAAAAATACCATTGTCTCATCCCAAGCGCGCTGCACTTGTTCTTCGGTAATGTCGTGACTCCATGAACTACATATTACAACATTAGCTTCATTAATTTGTTCTGTATTGCTCGGTTGTGCTTGAATCCTTAATTTAGCATCGATTTCAGTTATTCCGTTTCTATCTATTACTCGTTTTATAGCCTACAAAGCCAAAAGTTTTGAATTTGACTAATGGTAATACTAATAATAAAATAAACTACTGTATTTTTTATGCATAAATTAAGTACTTACTTCTTCCTGAGGAATAATACAAGTCCAAATTTCATGACATTCATGTTGCCATTTAGCCTGAATTAAGACAGCAGCTTCCATCACAATTATATCAAATCCTTTTCTGTTAAAATCATTTATTTGTTTTTTTGCTTCTTCTAAAATTGTGGGCCAAACAAGATTATTTAATTTGTTTAACTGTGTCTAAAAATACATTTACATTTATAAATATAAACTTAAGAATAATAACAATAAATACTATTAATAATATAAAAAGGTAGAAACTTACTTGATCATTAAATACTATATTTCCAAGTGCTTTTCTATCAATAAATCCATCAGATTTCAAAATAGTTGAGCCAAAATTTTTAAGTATTGCATCAAAACACTTTTTACCAGGTAAATATAAATCATGTGCTATTTTATCACAATTGACAACAGCAGCACCCAGTTTTTGTAATTTATCAGCTACAGATGATTTTCCACTTGCTATACCACCAGTCAAACCAATAATATAAGGTTTTAAGCTTTTATTGCTTATTATCTAAAATATGCATAAAATTACAATTATAAATATTAATAAAACTACAATATGTATAACAAAATTTAATACAATACATACAGGGGCACGAAGTTTTGTACCCAATAATCGTATTCTTTGATTACTAGAACTCATTTTACTTTCTTCATGTTTTTTATAATCCACATCATTTATTAGTTTCACTATATGTATATCTAATTTAGTTAAATTGTTTTTTTCACGCATTTCATTTACTTTATCTCCACCACGTTTTGTTTCTTCACTAACTATTAGCAATTCTAATGTTGGATCATATTTAGTTGGACCATATATATCATTTATAGCTACAATATCATATGTTAAGGTTGCATCTATGTCTTCTAAAAAGTCTTTGATATTTGAAATTCTTGTATTACAAGGTTCTATTAGCTCCCATAATAATTTTCCTGTAAATTTAAATAAACAGGTTCATTAAAATAACAAAAACTATTTTATAAATATGAAAAATTCTTTTTATTTATGAGAGTCAACAATTTATCAATAATTCATAATAAATATATTTCTTATAAATTATATTTATTCACAAACTCTTACCAGACAACATATTTGTATCAGTTACACCAACTAAAAGTTTTTCTGTGCAACGTAATACAGCTTCACTTAAAATTATTTTATGACCATTATGTATTCGGTCAAATGTGCCACCAACTACTACTTTCTTGTAAGTCTTTTCCATATTAATGCAAGTTGTAACACTATCTACCTTTTCTTCTTTTAAATCATCAGTAAAAGTAATAAAACTACACCCCATAGAAGTATTAGCTAGATAATCTTGTATGAATGTATCAGCTTCTCTCTTACTACAAATTTGGTCAAAAATAACTATTTCTACAGGCTTTTTAGTATTTATTATTGATATATTAGGATTTTTTATACTTGTAAGCAATACCCGAACATCAAGTCGAGCAGATAGAGTAGATGTATCAACATAAATGTTAAAAACGGTTTGAGTGTAATGTGTTACTTTCCATTGAGAGTTTCTAACCGTATGGTTACCAGAAAGAAAAATATTCTTTTCCGGAAGATATTGAATATATAGAGTTTTTAGTACATGTTTTTTGATAATCGGTAATAATTTCATCACCTTTATAGGATTTGTTAAAACTAATAAACCAGTATTTGCCATCATGTAATAAAATTTCTTAAATAACCGTATTTTCTGTCGAAACTTTTGTTGAAAAGTAAAGAATGTTGTAAGTATATTATATTTCATAGGTTAATACTTTTGCATATCGATTACTCGTAATATGTTCAAAAAACAAACGTTTTTGCTTATCAGTATATCAACATATTCTGTACTCATCATCTCTATATCATACTATACACACACTTAATCGTTATATGCAACGATCATAAGTACATGAAATTTTTAATTTTATAAATAAAATTGAAAACAATAATACATGTAGTTATTAAAAGTACTACGTATATTTATTATTTTTGTCGATAATAATTTATAATAAGAAATTATTAGGTAATTAATCAACTTTAACGAAATTATAATTTTTACTTTTTTATTAAAAGTATTAATTACAACAGTGTTATTACATATTTAATTTGTAACGCATATTTTGGTTTTCATTGACTATAATTATTATTATAAGTTACATTTAATATATTGTACATGTACAAATTAAAATAATGTTTATTAATTTATGTATTTTAAGTACTATGTAATTAATGATATAGAAGATTCACATTGGTGGTGTAGAAGAACATCGTAAAGGATTATGTGTGATGTTTTTATAGTATAAAAGTAACCACTGTACTAATTTTGTATGATTTCTAGTAAATGCCATTTTTAATATACTATTATACCACTTATCTTTAAAACCAAATTTACATCCTGTGAAAATATGCAATATAAATGCTTTAGATATTAAGTCTATTGATACAAAATTAAATTTGCACAATAACAAACCAGTGTCTGCAAGCATTTGAAGACAAGAGAAATCATTTTCTGCTGGATTATTAAGAATATAATAAGTAATCATACATAAAGCATTTTCTCCTGTTATTGTAGTAATGAAAGGATCTGCACCTGTGGAAATTTAGAAGATACATATATACTATATTAATTGTAGCATACAATAATTATGTTATTTTATTTCATGCATACCCTTTGCTAGCATAAATGTAATTAAACATTTATGACCTTGGAAACAGACACGATGAAAAGGTGTTAAACCATAGGGTGGAGATTTTATGTTTATTAATTGTGGGCAATGTACTGTTATATCGATGCATTTTAATGCATAAAATGTTTCATAACATTTCTGTAAAATAGTACATATAATCTTATATATTTTATATATATACAGTGCTTCATAAAATAGGGATATAATAATTAAATGAATAATGATTAAAAATATTTCTTGTACAAAATTTTATATATAATATTTACTATTATAGTTGTTATTATATAATAATATTTAATAGAAAACTAATTTACATCGGCTGCATATTCCAAAGTATTTAACATTTCTTTATGGCTGATTATGCTTCGATATCGGGTAAATAAACGATTATAATTCTTAAATTTTTGTAATTCTAATAAGCTGTATTTTGTTTTATTTATGAATCGTTTGTAACTATAATCTGCAATTTAAGACACATCAAATTAAAAATATTTCTGTGATTTATGATTTTCAAAATATATTTAAAAATAGGTATTTTATTTAATAGAAATTTTAATTAACGTATAATTGCTAGCCATTAGCAGAAATTTGAAATTTCAAAATGTATCTACCGTGAATACAATAGAGAATACAAGAAATAACTATGATAAATCCAACGACGAAAATAATTTCAAAAATATTTCCACTTAATAACGTAAAATATTTAAATAACATGTCATAAAACGATTCATTATATCTTAATATAAGGCTCATAATTTTTTAAATTATGTTTTGTTGCACCCGCGTTCTGTATAAATTTTTTTAGATTGAAGAATCTTTTTTATCTCATAATCTAGGAACAAGAATAGTAGATAGGAATCTACATGTAGTAAACATTTCCCCATACTGTCCTGAATAACCAATCAGAATAAGCAAGCAATGATGCAGGATGTCCCCTTTCAACAGTCGACACTCCGGAAGTGATCGTCTAAGGGGTAGAGAGATCCGTTACCCTGAGTAACGATTAGATATACCCCGAATTCTCAATTTGAAGTTCTGAAACGGGGTCGCCGTAGGGGGCACCGATACTCAGGTACTGCAGCGAAAACAGAATCGACGCAGACGCGAACCATACTTGCTTGTCAGAATGAGTGCGTTGTGTTGAGAAACCCGTCCCTAATGTTTACAATTTTCCTTAAAGAAACTAATTAGTGTTATGATTTTAAATCCTTATAAATATTTGTGAAAGTTTTACAGTGATTATTCGATTTTAAAATCGATTTGTTTGAAATTAATCGTGACATATATGAAAGCTCAACGTAGGTAGATATACTTGGTTGTATTTCCCTGTGTTACCTCAAACTTGTCTCTTGTTACGAAAATGGCGAATCTTATGACTCGCCGATATTCGTATGGAAATTTTGTACATTTCTATATGGATGACAAAAAGTGAACGACTCTACGATTCTATGCGGAAGAACTTTATTGGGGCCAAGTAAAAAGAAAAATTTGGATAGTTAAAGATGGATGCAACAATTGAGAGAGAGTGCAGTGCTTTGGGTGGCCTCTTTCAACAGATTATAACTGATATGAAGGTAAGTAACGTCAATGGTGTCAATTTTCGATATTTATTCTGCTACGCGACCGCGTTTCTTCCTGTTCATTGTTTTTTGTATGTTTTTCTATCTTTGCACAAGTAACGATGCAGGCCAAGGCGCGTTGTCGATGCAAATGTTCTTAAAGCACTTATTCGTAAATGTTGTGAAATTATTTTAATCGAAAAAATAATATATTCCTTCCATTGTTTCTTTTTATAGTATTCTTTAAAAATATGGTTCCACTGTCCTGATTCCGAAAACTATGTTCCGAAACCATTGAGATACTTTAATGCAATAAAACGAGGACGAAAGTTAATTTACACTTGTTCTAGTTTTATGTCATAGCTTCGAAATATTTTTTAATTTCTGCAAAACAATAAATATATAATTTATTTTAATAAAAGAATAAATAATGGATATAATACAGTATTAAGTAATATTCAAAGTACACATATAATGACATATACAACAAAGCAAATTTTTACATTTTATTTAATATGCATACATGGCATTTGTGCATAAATTTTTTGTAAAATGTTGTTTAATTTTGTTAAATAACTATAAAAATATATATTAGGTAGCAGTGTAACTATATAACAATTCAGTTCATTTTCAAGTACATAAAATTATCTAATCACAAAAGATAGGTAGGCGTATATGATTGCATTATTACATTCAATATATTCTGCAATATTTTTATTACAGGAGTTAAGTTATTATAAATTACATATAACTTAACATAACTTAATAAAAAGATATTTAAATAAATCATAGTATTATTTATATAGCTTAATATATATAATATTATAATAATTATAACTATATAATAACTATTTTTGTAAACAAGAAAAAATTACAAAAATTTCTTTTTAGAATGGAGCACCATTATGGGAGGATTTAATTTCAAAAGCCACCAAACTGCATTCATGTTTAAGGTAACATTCATATTTTAATTGTAGCTTAATATTTCTTTTATTCGTAAACTTGTGATTTAATTTTTATGTTAAATAATGTAATAGAAGTTTTACAACTTTTATTTATAATATTATAATATCTCTAATCTTACTTTTATTTTCATTTTTTTAGGGCTGCTATTTTAGCTATCTCTGCATATCTTGAAACCTTTCAAAAAATTGCTGATGCAGCAACTAATGCAAGAGGTGAACTAAATACTATTTTATATCACTTATTTTATTTGCATCACTTTTTTTTATCTAAAATAATTTTTTGTGAAATACTTTTAAATATTAGTTTCTAATTTGTTATTACAATATATATGCTTAAATTATAAGAATTGTTTCTTATAAAACTAATGTGAAGTTAAATTTATAACTAAGGTGCAACAAAAGAAATTGGAACTGCTTTAACCCGAATATGTCTTAGACATAAAGCAGTTGAAACGCGTATGAAATCATTTACCAGGTAACTTTTCATTAAACTTCATACATATAATGACATATACAACAAAGCAAATTTTTACATTTTATTTAATATGCATACATGGCATTTGTGCATAAATTTTTTGTAAAATGTTGTTTAATTTTGTTAAATAACTATAAAAATATATATTAGGTAGCAGTGTAACTATATAACAATTCAGTTCATTTTCAAGTACATAAAATTATCTAATCACAAAAGATAGGTAGGCGTATATGATTGCATTATTACATTCAATATATTCTGCAATATTTTTATTACAGGAGTTAAGTTATTATAAATTACATATAACTTAACATAACTTAATAAAAAGATATTTAAATAAATCATAGTATTATTTATATAGCTTAATATATATAATATTATAATAATTATAACTATATAATAACTATTTTTGTAAACAAGAAAAAATTACAAAAATTTCTTTTTAGAATGGAGCACCATTATGGGAGGATTTAATTTCAAAAGCCACCAAACTGCATTCATGTTTAAGGTAACATTCATATTTTAATTGTAGCTTAATATTTCTTTTATTCGTAAACTTGTGATTTAATTTTTATGTTAAATAATGTAATAGAAGTTTTACAACTTTTATTTATAATATTATAATATCTCTAATCTTACTTTTATTTTCATTTTTTTAGGGCTGCTATTTTAGCTATCTCTGCATATCTTGAAACCTTTCAAAAAATTGCTGATGCAGCAACTAATGCAAGAGGTGAACTAAATACTATTTTATATCACTTATTTTATTTGCATCACTTTTTTTTATCTAAAATAATTTTTTGTGAAATACTTTTAAATATTAGTTTCTAATTTGTTATTACAATATATATGCTTAAATTATAAGAATTGTTTCTTATAAAACTAATGTGAAGTTAAATTTATAACTAAGGTGCAACAAAAGAAATTGGAACTGCTTTAACCCGAATATGTCTTAGACATAAAGCAGTTGAAACGCGTATGAAATCATTTACCAGGTAACTTTTCATTAAACTTCAGTAATTTTTAATATTTATTTATTAAATATATTTATATTTTTTTATATTTATGTCATTTTTATTTAAACATCTTTTTATTAGTGCTATTATGGATTGCTTGGTTTTACCTCTTCAAGAGAAATTAGAAGATTGGAAAAAATCCCTAATAAATTTAGACAAGGAACATGCCAAAGGTTAGTAATATAATTTATCTATAAAATATCTTACTAATATTTTATTAATTTAGTACTAAAATGTACCTAATATTACCTAATATTCTGTCAATTTTAGAATATAAGAAAGCGAAAGCAGAATTAAGAAAGAGATCAACTGATACATTACGCTTACAAAAGAAAAAAGCACGTAAAGGACAACATTTACAAGGACAATCACAAGGACATGTAACATCATCAGGTGAAATTGAATTGAATCGAATGTTAGAATCTTCAGCTGCTGTTGTTCAAGAAAAACGATTAAGTTTGGAAGAAACAGAAAGAAAAGCTGTTCGTGCAGCTTTACTTGAAGAAAGAGGCAGATATTGTCTTCTTGCTAGATTTTTAAAACCTGTACTTGTTAGTAAAGTTAATTATAACAAATGAACAATTAATAATTTAATTTCATATGTCACTACTAACAATATCTACAAAAAAACATAGGATGAAGAAATTGCAATGCTAATGGAACTGACACATCTTCAAGAGGTTTCTGATCAATTACAACGACATGCAGCTTCTCCACATCATTTGCCTCCTGCATCAGAACAAGTAATAACAGATATAAAAGGTTGCGATATAACACAATGGTCACTTGCTACACCTCCATCAAGTCCTTCTTTATCACTTGGATCAAGAAAAAGTTCAATGTGTTCCATCAGTTCTTTAACCAGTAGTAGCAGTGGTTCATGTAAAAGTCATCCAAGTCCATCTGGACATCCTTGGCACAGATCACTTTCTCAGGTAAAAACCTCCATAATGTGAAAAATCGATATTAAGTATCCTTCTATTCTACTTACAATTAGTCATATACTAAGAATGTCAGCCTTTTGTAATGCATGGCATATTAGACTCAGTTTATGCACTAGCTGTATTTCAACCAAGTAGCTGCTTATAGATCATAGCATGAGTGCCACTTGGCATCAGCTTAGTGTATGTGGTAGTCGATGTTGTACTCGTTGTAGTCTGTCGGTGTTAGGCCCTCCAGCATCAATGGTATGATGACGCTGCGCCACTTGGCAAACGGTAGTTCCCGTGACTCTGGCTTCACTTCTCAGGACACGTTATATACACAACCAATTTCTGAACATCAGGTAAGGTTATTAGAAACTAGTTGCTTGCTAGCACTTCATGTTTTTCTTTTTTATTTGCAATTTTGAATAGATTATTGCATCTTTTGAAAGAAATATTTTTGTTATGTTGTTGAAGTTAAATTGTGTTGTCATAGGTATCAAATGTGTCTTCTCAAACTAATCAAAATACTGGTTGTACTACAACAAGACCTGTAACTACTGCTACTTGGCCTGACTTGCAGGAAACATCAGTTCAATACGACAGGCAAAATCAGAACACAATCAACGAACGGCCACATACGATCTCTTCTGGTAAGATAATAATCATTGTATTTGAAAAATAGTGTAATTCATTGTTTGTAATATTATATCAATTATCGTTGTAGCTTACGAAAAAGGCCATCAAAGACCAGCGCTCAGTGTCTACACATTCCAAGCTCCAGATAATGGTGGCTGTTGTCATAGTCAACCTGCTTCTCCAGTTTCTTCTTCCTCTTCATGTTCTTCTTCTAATCAACAAGCATCCAGAGTACAATTACGTAGAAATAATGGTAGTCATCGTCCTCCTATACCGAACCGATGTTCCAGTTTGGAACGCCCAACAGTTCCAGTGAAAAATGAACCTCCTGGAAGTCCACGAGGAAAACCTAAATTACCACTTCCAGCACATTTAGCAAAAGGTCTCTATTATTTTTTATTAGTTATATGTAGATAATTTATATTTTTAGTTCTGTTCAAAAAATAGAATGTAATATTATGATATAATGTAGAATTAGCAACTCATCAGCTTCAACAACCAATGTATGTGAACATGCACGAATTAGCAAATCTGGCTGCAAGTCGTGCTCAAGAAATGCAGTTACCTTTACCTCCACCCCCTGCATCATTATCAGCACCAGGAACTGAAAAGGTAAGAATCTTAACAATATATAAAAAATACAATAATATGAAATTTTATGACTATATACATACATCCTTATAGACTGAAATTGCGGAAAAAGATGGTGGAAGTCAAACATCTGAATCTAGTGTTGAATCGAGTAGTGGATATGGAAGTCAAACTACCATACCTCATTCTCATTCACTTCATAATCCAAGTGAGAATGCTTGGAATGTACCTGGTGCTGCATCTACTTTAACAGTTCGCAGAGGATCGATGCAGCAAGTAAATAAACCTCCACCACCAACAAGACGAACGTCTACTATTATAACTGCCACATTCAATAATCCTTCATCAACTTCTAATGATGAACGCACTGATAATACTTGCGATGAAACTGAAAATCTTCCTCCACCACCAGCATTTTTATTGGAAGGCTCTTCACCTACAGCCAGTCCTACTCCTCAGCGGTAAGAAATGATATTTCTCCACTTTTATTACAATGGATTGGTATATAAAATATTAATACGCAATATATACCTCTCATTGCAGATCTATCTCAGTATCAGAAACAGTAAGGACCCTTACAGAGTTACGTCATACACCTGCTAGCCCTTCTCTTTTACGAAAAGCTACAGGGCAAGTACAATCGCATAATAACTTGTCTACTACATTACCACATAATGCCGTATTACAAGTCACTCGATCTTGCGTTGAACGTTCATGTGCAGCAATTCGTTCAACTTCTCAAGAACGTAGTTCGAATACTACACAAATAACTACTGTTAATACGGGTGTAAATATTCAAGGACAAGGTCCTGGAGGAGTTGGTCAAAGCTTTATGGCCGTTCTTAGTGCTAAGCTGATTAACAGTACTGGTAATAATGCCACTAGTGGTAACAATACAAATAATAGCCCTAAATCTGCCAGAAAGTATTCCATTGAACAGCAAATAAGTAAAAATTCTAAAACACCATCTGGTTTTCTTGAAACTTTAAATGCTAAATTAGCACAACAACAACAAAATTTGCAAGGGAATAATACAACGAGTAGATCTGCCAGCGTGAGACGCATAATGGGCAATCGTGTACCTATTATGGATCCGTTGCAAGTTAGAGATTCACTCATGGATCAAATACGAAAAGGTACCTCTTTAAGAAAAACCAGTGGTCCCATTAATGATCGTTCAGCACCTAAAATTTACTGAATATTAGAATACTGGTGTTCATGCAAGTTCCTTTGCTATCTCTGATGCATTTGAATTATATTTGCGCTTGTTGTAACAATCGCAACACGCATTATCAAGTCTGAACAATAATATGTTTATATCGCCGAATAAAATGGCGTTTGTCACACGTTGATCATATATATGTACCTTTACGAACGTACATTCGATAACTGATAATCAGTTAGATTGATTTCTTTGCACTTTGGTGCACTAATGTCAAATTCAAAGAACAAAGTAAATTTTTTACATAAATTCGTTAATAACAATTAGTTTTATTAAAATTATGAAAAAAAAGAAGGGCAAGCTCTATATTAAATACATCATCTTAAATATATATTTTAATGCGTGTTATATATATATACACATATATATGTATACATTAATTCGGTACAAAGATAAAACAATTTATGTTATTTGTTTAATTAGAAAGTTCAATTTTATTATTACAATATTAATATGATATGCGTACTTGATAATTAAAAGTGAAAATATATAAGTAATATATTTATAAACTAAAGTAGTATTTCAACTCCGATTAGTTTGAGTTAACGTTTGATACTAATGCCCGATGCTTGCCAGTACTATGAAAAGCCTGACTGATTTGATAATACCTTAGTAACAATTTAATATTTTATATTTTAACTTAAAGAACAAAAGAAAAAATACAAAATTCGTATATATAATTTAATATAGAGCTCGTGTCTTAATATATCATTACTTTATATATAATTATTAATCTGTATTACCTGTCTTTCATTTTCCTGTATGAAGCGCACAAACACAATTGTCATTTTTATTTCATACTACTTTTATTTCCTATTCAGTATGGTGTTTTTTGTAAGCACAGGTTTAATAGTAGCATTTGTCAACCAATATAATACTGTTTGGTATGACAAAATTGAACGTAAATATATATATGAGTATTTCTGCCCAGGTGGAACTTAATTTTAGAATTAGTTTCGGCCCGATTATTCCACTAAGATTTATATCTTTAATATTTATTCAATATCGATATACAATAATATTGTATTGCCCAAACTACAGTATTACTATGTTATTGTTTTCCAAGAGCAATTCGTAAGTCGATATTATCGATTTGAAAGTTTTCGTACCTATCTAGCGTAGTCTTCTTTCGATTATATCACTTTCCTTTTACACATATCGATTTAGTCTTACCTTCCAATTTGGAAATGTATCCATATTTTGGATTATAAATGGATTTGCATTTACAAGAATACCTTTTGGGATTGTAACGTCTATCTCTTGTATATTGATGCCACATATCAGAATTTTTGTATCACTGTGTTTTTTAATATTAGGATAAGTATTGTACAATACTGTTTTATAATATCGATACCTACGACGTTAGAAGAGCTGTTGAGATATATGCATTTACTATTTGCTCGAGCATTTACTGCCAACAAATTTGGCCAATATTCTCGTAAATATTAGGTCGATATTTCGTTCCATTATTTCTGTTCTACCTGGGCAATGCTGTTCCAATATCGGTAAATATTAAAAGTAAACGTGTATGTGTATCTCAGATCGGCGAGAAAATTACTAGTGCGTTAATACAACATTTTTGGTGAATGTACACCTTCAACATATATTTAACAAACTGATGCAAAGTATGATCCCAATATAACAAAGTATTATTGATCGTATTTGTCTCGTTTCTTTAAGTTAACTATTTGCGAATAGAATTCTATAATATCTACTACATGTACCGTATTGTTTATTCGTATGAATAATTGTGGTGTACCAATTTTAAGAGGAAACAAAATACCTATTTTATTAAGGTATAATTAAAGTCTTTGAAATGATGCCGACTGAACTGAAAACGCTACTGCCAATTTATAGACATTCAAAAATTGTTCCTTTCATTCCTGATGCAAGTTAGGTTTTGCATTTTACTTTAGTGAAGCGTCGCAACGGGTAGTTTCTTTAGTAAACAATGCAAATAGTCTTATTTATTTCGAGCAAGCATTTTACCGTTTACAAATGTGGATAAATAGCTAACACATTTACAGTGATAATGCGATTTGATATTTAATGCTGAGGACGAACGTAGTAGACACCACGAGTAATAAAGAATAAAACAGGGAGAAAAGGAAAGGCAATTGCTTTATGTTGAACTATGCCGTGTAATTTTGCGGACAAAAACGAAAGAAACGTTTCAATTCGATCAGCATTAAATGACAAACACTCTTAGTATAATAATAAATAAAAAGAGCCGTAATAATGAAATAGATAACCGTAAAATTTGCTGTAATAAAATAATATTTAATGTAGTAAAAGTTCGAGAGGTGATTGTTAATTTGTAATAATTATTTCAGTAGCAGATCATTCCTGGCGGAAGACTAATATCCGCATTAAAAATTTAATTATAAACCTGTACCGAGTGATTCGTTTCTGCCTCGGTGGTCGCGTTGGGGATGATGTCTTGATGATGGCCATTAGGGTATAACGAGCCGAGATGTTCGCGAAGAAATGTCGCTGTGGGCTCGAACACTTGGCGGAATGCAGACTTTTTCTGCGAATCGTCGGATGGAAGGTGAGTTTAGTGGAATGGGAATTGTTTATATACTATATATATATTTACAAAGGAGTAAATTAACCAATGTATAATATTGAAACCTTTACTTATAGTCTATTCAGTTTGATAAAAAAAGGAGATTATTTCCTGGTAACTGATTACAACGACGATGATCCTTTATGTTTTCGCGTAAATTACACGTAGCTTACTATATGAATAATTAAATATGTAATTGATATACTTGTAGATAAAAAAAGGTTGAAATTATGTATATAGTCTGCGCGAAGTTAGTGAAAAACAGTGTTATATCCTTATAATCCGGATCTACACGTTCAGTTTGAAACATTTTAAGCATTAACCGGGGAATCCTCATAACTGCATTCAATGCTGTCTGCATTCATACAGGTGGCTCGTACTTTTCCCAATTTGCATGGTATACCGTTTACCATTGGTAAACCATATATATAAAACGAATCGTTTAGTGTTTGTCTCTGATCTTCGGATGTTAGAAAATCGTCGTCCTTGTTTATCACTAATGCTAAACTTCCAGCTGCAAGAAAATATTTTTTTATACCGAATATAATGTAAAACGGTGCACGTGTTACGTGTATCGAAATACGATGGCCTAATTGCTCGATATTCTGTCCTAGTACGATGGAACGTTACGTACGATTATCTAATGGCGAACAGGAACAATTCGGGCTTAAGGTGAACTCAACCGTGGTACGAAGACGTTTAATTTCTCGGGATACATGCAGGTCCAGCAACAGTCTTACTTTATGCAATCGTCTGATTGCTACTTTAGCCGCGCTTCTTGCCGAGCAATAAATGTCACTGATGTCCGATGGTAACGTGTCCATGCACACGGGACAATTTTCTTTTGCTCTTGTCGGCGCTGAAAGTACCATGTAACGTGAACAATAATTGTACGCGTAACTGTTGTAGATCGTAAAATACATTCACTTACACGGAATACTGATTTCAGTGATTATTGTAGTGTTCCTTATTTCAATTTCCGGTTCCACCTATGGAAAATTATCATTGTCAATGGTCCGACAGGCTTTACTTCGTTTCTCAATCTGTTTGAGAATTATTCTTAGGTCCTTTAAAACGTAAGAAGCTTCAAGTATACCTCTATAGGTCGTTCTTCGGTTACCGGTATAGTTGGTACAGTTTGATCTGTCGCAAATGTCGTCGTTAAATCGGGCAATTCATTGGTAATGGTAGTCGCGTCTGTTTTGTAATAAGTATCCGGTTTCACGTAAACTGCAATTAGTTCCTCGATTTTTTCGGAAGCCGATATCTTGTTATACTCTATGCCGAGCCGAAAATTTGGCGTTGCTTGTTCATCGACTGGTTCTGCGCTGCTACAGAGCGAGGCAATTTTGTAATTCTGAAAGCATTCGTCGTTGCGATTATTGCGTATTATTTATTTTTCCAATTATATCTTAGGAACGAGCAGAAATGATTTAAGCTTACGGTGGACACGGTAAGTTCCGGTTGATAGTAATCGTATAGCTTCACGTTCGCCGGTTCAAGTCGATCGACAATGTATTCCCTTACTATTCTAAATGAAATGCAGGTTTTTTGGGCAGTCAGTTTGTCGAAGTAGATAGTTACGATATCTTGGTCGTCCTCGAAGCGCTTAACTCCTGCAATTCGTGAATCAGTCTCAGCTACCGGTAGCATCGTTTATTAATCTGATTTTTAGCAGAAAATAAAATGAATTTACTCGTAGATGGTTTTAGTAACGACAGCAGGCTCAGTCGATCGGGCACATAGCCACTTATCATTCCAACTTCGAGTAAAGCCATGTTACTCTCTTCGTCCGCCATTTTATATCGAGCGCAGAACGTGATTTCTTGTAACGAACATTCGTTTTCATAAGCAACAGAACGAGCATTCACTGAGAGATCGAACGCATCCGAACCGGTACTATACGCAACGTTATATTTAAGATTACTCTAAAATTCAGATAAAATGAATATATAATTTGTAACGGAAAAGAAGCTGTCGTTAGAAACAGTAAAACATGGTACACTATGTATGTTTTAATAAAAATAGATGTAATTACTTTACCTGTACTAAAACACATCCTTCACCCTGGGCAAAGATTTCTACGATAGTCGGTAGCACGGGTAAGCGGATTTGCATAAGCACTAGACGATTATCATTATGCAATTTGTAGACGTAATCTACCTTTTTAGCCGTAACGAGAACAGACAAGTCAGTGTTACTATGATGCGCAGTCTTAATAGCGTATTTCGTAAGAGCCTCCAGCCCGAGGACAGTATCTTGCGTGGATGTAAATCCACCCTCGGTATTCCTTTGCTTCGATATCCAACGAACAGCCTTCAACACTTCAACCATGTTTTCATTGTCACCTAATTTCAATAACGTAAGAATCATGTACGCGGTCATTTCGATGCTTAAACTGAGCGATGGCCTAGATTTATCTTCCCACCAAATTAGATTCTACAACACAAAAGGGTCTAATATGAGAAATTAAAAATATAAATCATCGCTGTGTATCAAATATATCGATTCGCAGGTAAGAGCTTTTCTCGTTTCATTAATTTCAAAGCGAAAAGAAAAACGAGAATTTACGTTGAAATGTCTCATTAGTCTGATTAATCGATCTCTATATTCGTTACTTTTCTAATCGATCATTTGCGTATTTATTCGTACATTCTGATGCGTAGCGAGATCCATTAGAGCTTTCATGCTAGAATTAGCTTTCGGATGGTCCGTTAATGCTAATGCATATGTAATAAGGATCATAGTATATGGCTCATTCTGGCTACTAGCCAGTCTGTTTTCTAAACACTTCACAGCATCATTAATGTATCCAGGAGGTAAATCCACACGGGATTCGATTAAGGAAATTAGTATGTATGCCGTTAGCGCTGGCGAATCTTCATAGTCTTTGAGGCCGCCCTACAAACATAATTTGATGCAATTTATCGAAACATTGGGAATAGTTGAGAATCTCTATGCCAATTTTGGCAAACCTTCATCTTTTTGTGGAAAACTTTGCCTATTACGGGGAAGCAACCATTTTTCAATTGATTCCGAGTGATCCACATAGCAGTTCGTGTAAGTTGCATCTCGTCTATATGAATCAAGTCCGCAGCCTGAGAAAATGATTTTAATACAAATGCAGTCAACCATATGGAACTTTTATCGCCCTTAAATGCGGAATAAGAGCCGTCCACGTGTCTATAATTCAGCTCTCTCTGATATCCTAGATACAAGATACAAAATAATATCGCGATTTCGTAAAATATATTAAAGAAATAATACCTTTCATCATATTTTTAATCGCCTCTGCTCGAAGCGCGGGTTTATCGATTCCGGTCATATCCAAATATTTTATCACGTGAATATTTGGAACGAACAATACCATGTTTTGTTCCCCACAACCCTCGGGTAACCGCACAAGTTTGTCTAACTTGTCCAATGCTGGACCTAAGACATCTCCTACAAAATTTAAGTACGCCCTCCCGCTATTTGGCACCGCGTCCTCAGGCAGTGCCAATTCCCACGAAAATGTCGAATCGTCGCTGAAATTCATTGGGCAAATCAATGACGATTTAGTTTCTTCCACGGGGAAACCTTCGGGTAGAATTAAGATCGATTTCACAATTACGTCCCTTAAACATAAATAAGTCAAACACGTTATTTGTTTATTGATAAATTCGATTTCTCATTTCTTATATTTAAAATCTATTTCTTATCTCTAAATTAATTTAAATCATTCTCTCTTTCTTTTTTTTCTTTTTTTTTTTTGACTTTATCTAGTACTGTACAAGTTACTTATTTATTCTTAATTACTGCATAAATGTCAAAGTCTCTGAGCTGCACGGTGCAGGATAATCAGTGTCTATGAAAGCGGCAACCGTTATGTTAACTTCTCCCAGCACTCGTGGTCTCAAGATATATTCATGAACGATACTATCTTGTGGTTCTACACAGAACGAAGCGATGGGATCTATTAAATGCAAATCAATTCCTGCTACCTCTTCCAGTTTGATTTTTACCTGTGTCAATAAGTGAAGCGAATTATGAAGTGCAACGTATTATCGAGTTATGTATTCTATGAAAGATATGTGTGTGCCGCGTTGCACGAGAATCGCAGTGATTGTTTCATTGTATTACACGGATGATACAATTTCTAAACCGTGTTAGAAGAAACCTCGGTACACTCGTTATAGTACTTACAGGTAAACTGTGGTGCATGTAGTTGAAGAGAGAAACCTTGAAACGCATCATTTCTCCGCGTTTTATGCTGTACGGTAAATTATAATCGAGGAAAAACAATTGAAAGGCTGTTATGGTGATCGGTGGTGCTATTCCGAGGCCATGGTCCGGCGAAATACATGTTGTATAGCCAACCCAGTCGGTGATAGTGTGAGGAAGTGTACGTTCTAGTGTTATTTTACCTTCCTTTCTGTAAAAGACGATGCAATATTCAGTTATATGCTACATACGCGCTGTTTAAATAACACAGATATACGTGAAACGTAATAAACAATATACTTTGTAAAAAGACGTAGATTTTTCAAAGTAATTAACGAGTAATTTAATCATACCCGGTAGGTACTAATTCCCACAACCACGTTTCAGGAAAGTATGATCTGAGTTCAGCCATATAACTCGAATGTTGATCAATGCCTGGATCCTTTGCCGCAGCAGCAACTGCGAAATCTATTGGGAGTTCTATAATGGGAAAATAAGAAATCTTGGTGCTTTATAGTTAATTTTCGTAGAAGTGACTTCAGAAACGTGTGATTTGTTAAAATAAAGTTAAGCTACGATGTATACCTCGTCTCTTATTAGACAAAGTTAAATTAGTCGATAACAAAATAGATCAACTTGCCAAGCATATGGAGAATTTGAAAATTTGGCTTCATCATCTGCGAAGAGAACGAAGCTCGTTCTTGGAACAACCATGGGCATGGTCGAGTTTCCAGCACCAAATCGCTCATTACGATAACTCCAAAGTCCTGTGGAAAATAAAAATCAGATTACCTGTGATATTTAAAGGCAAAAGGAATGAACATTTGCGCAAAAGTACGATACCGTGAAAGCTTGCAGAGTGTCCACATAGTTGACACCTTTGTCAAATGTTATCGTTTGCCTCTTTCGCCTTCGCAGTTCGCCAAGTTGTGGAAAATGGTTGATCTCTTCGTTCGATTCTTTCAATGTTGCTGTACAATTGATATTTAAACTACGTGCCTTTGTTATATAGACATTACAGATAAGTTAGAGAACGTACATTTGCAATGTGTTCCAAACGTGTAACGGTTTTGAGAGGGATGAAATCTCCTCAGCTGATCGAACGTTTGGCTGGCATTGATCAGATTAGAGTTCGATTTGTCCATGAACAGGGTCGCTTTATCTACCACGGATATTCCACAAAGAGACCAAGGTGCAGCTTCGATGTGATACTGGGTAGTTGATCCTGGTGTTTGAACATTGGTGTGCCATGCGGTTTTTACTTTGTTCTCAAAGCAGTGGCCAATCTCGATTGTGTAAGTGGTTGCGACAATTTCTCTGTATTCTAATACGTAATAGAGTAACAATTCCGAAACTGGAGCCATGCTTGGTGTGACTTTAACGCTCAAGGGAAATCTAATTGAAGGAATTGAAGAAAATGTTAAAAATAACAGAGGCATGCCGCAATGTAATGTAACGAAATGATGAAAAATTATCGAACGAGGTATTTGAAGAATTTACCTATGTACTACGGGGTCTGTTTTGTTCGTGGAGAATACAAAGGTACCCAGTAAATTACGAAATTCGGAGTAATTCAATACCGTATCCCGACTAGGCTTGTGCTTTACGTGACCGTATATTAGGATATGTCCTTTAGAATTAATCGAATAGTGGAAGAGAATGGTTTCATTTTTATTAGGAGGTGCCGTGTACATAACGTTGAAAGAATATTTTTCACCACATACGATCGGTTGATTTCCTCGAGCTACAGTTAAGTAACTATTGGACGGAGAATACCAAGGGTTTATATTAATATGTGCCGAGGGTTGATTCATAACGATCTAAAAAGAATTGCACGTTTATTTAGCAAATAGAAAATTAATCAAAATTTTAAAACCTTTAGAGTCGTTTTTAGTAATAATATTAATATTATTATTAACGTGACTTACTCTCGAACGTTGATCTACCGAATATTTTGTCGGATAATCAACAGCGGTAGCGACGAAACTTAAAAGGACTGTATCTTTATGTTGCGGCGGTAAGACGAAATCGACGAAACCGTCAACAGATGAGAGAAAGTCGCGACATTCTACAATATTGTCCTTCTTGTCCTTTTTCTCCACCACTTTCAGACAAATTTGAATTTTCTCATTCGGAGCAGGCGTTCCGTCGTGTCGCAAAACTCGTAACTAACAGATCAAAATTCAGGCTTAATAAAAGAGATAATTATCACCGCGAATAGATTGAAGTAACATTGAAAAACATAAGTATAGGGTAAAAAATCACTTTTCCATGATAAGGTAAACCGAACTTGAAGTATTTAGCCGTGTAATCCTCAAATTCCAATTTCAGTGCTTCGTGCACCATCACGGTGCGACTAATCGCAGTTTGTACTATACCGGTCCCGGCTTCTGTGAATTCCGCTATGAGAACAATATTGTTCGGATCCATTTTCCAAGACGCCAGTCCAAGTACCGACTCAGAAAGGGTAAAGTCGGTGCAACCATTAAGCTGAAATATTTATTTCACTCTTGAGATGTCGTTTTATCTCGATAAACGAGCCGAATATGATAGAAAGAATTGCATTCCGTACTTCCATTTCGTAAAGTATCTCCGGAAGATTAGGCTTTCTCTTCCAACTTGGCGTTTGCGGAATTAACTTTAGCAGTAGGTTACCTTTCACGGGTTTACCATAGCTGTATCTGCAATGTCAATTATTATTTTAATTTTCATGTTTTCTACACCCTCGTGTAATAAGCATTGCGTCGTAATATTTGGAATATTTGAAACTCTACGATAAATATACAAGAATGATACTTGACACAGATGTTCCAAGTCACGTTCCCCACATCGGCAAGAATATATTGCTGCGAATTTATTATTATTTGAAACTTTGGCAGAACGTATTTCTCTACTGTAAACGTAGTATCGTGAAACAAAGAGAAGTCCTTCGGTCTTCCTTTCTGTACTTCTATCCGCCATGTTCCCTGATATACGGATTAAAAGAGTAAAATGCAAGGAAATAAAAAATAATAATTATATTATGTACAATTGTAACAAACATATTTATAACATTTCCTTACTCGTCTAATAAACTACCACCTATAGTTATTTCATTCTCTTTCAGTTTGAAATATCTAGGTATATTTAATTTTGTTTAATAGGTTTTCTTTCATCGAGCAATAATAACGTGTTAATTTTACCAAACTCGGTTCCGGAGATAAAGGAAATGTCAACTGAACCATCCCATTCTCTGTGCTCACGTTCGTCCATTGCATTACCCTCACTCCTGATGGACCTTCAATCGATACCCGTGGAATCTATGAACAATACAGACTTCGAATATTGAAAGTAACGATTTCAAGGAGACATTAAACTCAAGAGAAAATTTCAAACGAAGAAACTCTCTTACCGGCTTTTGCCATGGCTTTAAATCATGCGTAAGCATCAGGATCCTAATGTTAACATCTTGGCCAGGCTTGTAAAATGGCTTATCTGTTTCCACGAAGGTAAGCACGGAATCCTGCTCGATTTGTACCTGTGCTTCCCATTTCACCACGTAATCAGGATATTTGTCAAATTTTATTTTTAATCGTAGCTTTGCGTACTTGTATCGAGTCAAAGGTACCTCTAATGGCAGACATATTTCCGTACCTAAAAGAAAATGTTTGATATAATTCATTCATCGTATCGACAAAATGAACTCTGTGTACAATGTTTTAAAATTATGTCTCGCGACTATCGTAACAGAGTTCCACACCTGCGGATTAGTGGAGATCTAAGATCGAGTTGCGATCATCCACGGTTTATTTTGCAAGTTTGCAATTTTTAACATTATATTCTGACTCTAGCTCGATAAACAAAATTCGATAAACAAACGTATTATCGATTTATTTCGAGATAGAGTGAAAGAAAAGTCGATCTTTCATGACTAAATGAACAATCGATTGTCAAGATTATTTAATACAATGCAATTTAATATTATCATCGAGTATGTTTATTCAAAGTCGGACATTAACCGAGCTAAATGACCAATGTTCATTATTCACTTGTTGTATAACAATATAAGTGGGTTTCCCATGTATTCCAGCGATTGCTTATTTCCTCTCTAGAAGGGGAGTCGACCAATTCACTTCTCCCGCAGGAAGCGGCGATAATTTCAATTTGCAATTTGTTAAACCCCTTGAACTATGATTTAAGTCGTGACAGTGCGTGCCAAAGTCTGCGAAAAAGTTTGCGCACACGCCCCATACTTTTGCTGCAGTTCGCGAAACTCTTGCTTCTTGTTTTCCGACAGCGAAGCACACCGCGAGTTTCACGCGTGTTTATAATACCACAAGGGGTTGAAGAGCTCGACACGAGACAAAAAGACCGACAGAAATGAACGAGGAGATGAGAAATATTTTCTACTTTCTATTTTCTATTTTCTTTTCAAAACAATGGTCAAGTCGAATTTTCGATCGTTTCAATACACATTTTTTCTTACACAGCTTGATAGTTGAAAGTATCTCTTGAAATATATTTTTCCATTAAGCAGGAAAAATAATGACTTAAGAACGAATTTAGAACGATGAATATATTTGCTATATTACGTATATTAATTTAATTAAAACCGAATTTCGAAAACACGTCGATGCATAGAATTTTTAATTCGTAAAAATTCGTTAATTTAAGTGTAAAAAAGCGATCGTATACGTTAATAAATTTTGTGATAGAGATATAATATATACATTATTTAATATAAATTGAGGTTAATCTTGCATATGAAATCTCACGTGAGCTTCAGATTCATAAAGATTCTTTACCAGGAGTATCGGTATACGTACGTATATTTATTATAAGGGTTTACATTCAAACACGAAACACTGGGGAATCACCATTATGATAATAAAAATATGACTCACAAACATCGAACGAAATAAGAAATTATAATCAAAAAGATTAATAATAACTCGAATCACTTGGAAGTTTAAAAATCGAATTTTCTTTCTTCGCACAATCGTGTATTTTCGAGTAATTAATAGCCGCATTTAAAAATTACTTTTCACAATTGATATTAAACATATCGGTATTAATATCACTGTTGCATGATTTAAAAATTTGTTTAAATTACACTTGTGTTTACCTGTTTTCATAACGACATCGGTACGCGTTAGTAGTTCTTCTGTTGCGAAGTCACACAATAGTTCAACATGAACGTGAGCTGGCAACTCTAAATTGTGCAAAGACAAACATGCACTTTCAGTTTCACCGGCTAATAATCTTTCCGGTGCCATGAATAGATATCCCCTAAAAAAGAAAGTAGAATCTGCCCAAATGTACGACAACAATTTTCCAACTTCATTATTTGTCTTCTATCGAGATACTCTTATATTTAGCGATGTTAATATTCTTATGAAATTCGTCCAAATAAAAGATCATTGACTAACATATTACTAGATATTTTCCAAAATTTATATATTTTCTCAAACTAAACTCGAGTATCGAACTCGTGTATTAAACTATACTATGATATTTCCTTCAAAGTAAATATATTTTGCATTCTCTTTTCCTTCTTCCTTCATTTTTTACGTAACGAAAATGTTTATCCAGTATTTATATAAATTATTTGCACGATTAATTAATATTTCAAAACAGCGGTTTTCTCCACAACAGGTTATCGAGCTTTGATATATCGGTTAAGAAATTATTTGGATCGGTAATCTGATTCTTATAACCTTTGGTTACAATAATTACCGATTGCTAATCGTTTTGTTGGCTTCACTGGAGTGTACAAATATCACTGAATAAACAAGCAGCACCAAAAACATTAATTTATCCATTGTATATATCTCATTTAGTCACACTGTCTATTTATTTTATTTCAAATACTGCCATTTATTTCCCACGAATTATATTTGCGAACATGTTTAATGAGCAACTGAAAAGTTCGTCTATCCGCCGATTAAATGCAAATTATCGTTTTTTTTCTAATGTTGACACGAGGAATTAACGATATGCCAATACACGTAGCCCTACGCAGTATGCAGACTGAAAGCACGATATTCGTTCGGTCCCTCTTATTAACTCCGTGAATCAGTATATAAGGAGAAGGGTTAAATGTTTCGTTGATCCTGATTGGAACGCGATATGTTTGTGTTCAATTGATTCAAGTTATTTAGTAAATTTCAACATGGAAATTACTATGAAAAATAAGGATATAACATTTGAAATGATTAATTATTACTCTTTGCCAAAATTTTGTATCGTTTAAATAACACTGTCCAACAAATTTTAACACTTTCTCTAATTTATAATATGCACTATAATACATATAAGAATGCTTCCACACATTTTTAATCGTGCATTTATAGAATTCTTTGAAAGTATGTTCAATAATGGTGGTTATAATGCTCATGTAGCAAATTTTGTAACTAATATATAATATATATTATTATGTATTATATTTTTATTATTAATTTTATTAATTTACAACGTTTTTTCAGTGGAAATTAAGCATTCTTTAACTTGTCATTTTCGTAACAAAAGCATATTTGTATTTGTTTCATTGATATTAATAAACTTAAGAGACATCGTTTGATATTCTACATCGATACTTTAGCACAGGGGTCGGCAACCTGTGACCCACGGGTCACCCAGTGACTCACTTTAGTTCCGAAAATAAGGTATAATATATAAAAATGGATTATAAAACATAAACATGACACATACATTTTGAGAATAAAAAATATTGAAAATAGATACTAAGAAGAACATTTTAGTTCGATTACCATGGGTCTTATAGACATAAGTGTTTATGTATATAAGATCCATGTCGATTACGAAATTGCAGTAATGATAGTAGGCGGAATATAGCGACATTGTCCGAATAAATTTTACCATTATTGGACGCGTGTGTCGTTCTCTCAGTTGTGTGTCAGTTCTTTATTAGAAAGTACCGATATAAGTAGTATTGGTAGGATTGCAATAATTATTAGATTTGCATCAATAAATAGCTCGAATGTCAATGAAGGACTATGCGTTCTTGCTTCAATGAATGACACGACCAAAGGCACTGATATTTTTCGTCAAGTACAGGAGTTTACAAATTTCAAAAATGGGCAAGTATTGGATTTAAAAAGTAAATTGTTTTCCATAACAACTGATGGTGTTGGCAAAAATTGGCTTTGCCATTTTGTCCACATTCGGTTCAACTTATAAACGTGAGCAAATATTTTCACAAATGAAATTTATATTAAGCAAGAACAGGAACAGGTTAACTACCGAAAATTCAGATGCCCGTATTCGTCTTAAAACGATTAACTATAAACCAGGCTTGACTAAATTGACGTCACAAGTTCAACATCAGGGAAGTCATTGATATCGAAGAGACCGTTTATAAATAAAGTTCATTCAACTATGTTTGTAATTATTTTCTTAATAGAATATCTTATTATTTACTAAAAGACTGTTCTAATACGAAAATATCTCTAACCCAAACGTCTCTTTAATACTCGCATTTTGCTTCATTTTGACCCGCGGCCAAAAAAGGTTGTCGACCCCTGCTTTAACATATGGCTATTTCAAAGATGAAGTATTTTCCCGCGTCAACAATACATAGATGGGACAACTACCGCCACCTTCTAGTCGACGCTGCAACGAACGTAACCGTTAACACATGACGGAATATTTTCGCGCATAAAAGTGAAGCTTTCTATGTCTCGACGAAACATTTCGCGAAGTCGTGTTATTACTGATGGACGTTTCAATTGTTGCAACCAGTGAAATATTTATTGAAGAACAATAATGCTCAGTGTCAGTTGTTATTTCGGAACACTGGAACTATAGATTACGTTCGCAATATTGTCGAAATATTTACCAATAGGCCACAGAACAAGTTGAAGGAATTGTGACAAATTTATCAAGATCAGGATATCCAACTGTGAACATGTGTCCGGTGGTAATATATCACATGTGGAAAGAAGTGAAGTTGCATAGTGGAAAACGTCTAACGAAACATGTGCGAAATAAAGTGGTTTAGTGCAAATCGTGAAACGATACGCGTGCGGAATAAAGTGATGTGAGTGCGACGTGTATAATACGACAGCTTAGGCACGTATCATCCATTGTAGATTATAGTCTTCGATTGTCCATAGGGAAATTACGTAATCATTGCACGGAATAGGCAGTATTTTAGTGGTTATACCAATTTTCCTTTGATTTTCAAGATTTAATTGCAAAACATAGTGAGGTAAATATAAGTGATAGTTAAAACGTGCATCGAGGATACACATTATAGCATGTATCACATAATTCTCGATCGTAGATTAGGGTTCTTCGGTCTATTAGCTACGAATAGACTGTTGTCTACTTAATCTACCAATTTCTTTTCCATTTCAACAGTTCTTTTCTGCAATATAATGCCTTCGAAAGTGTCAGTGGCTGGCAGATGGTACTGCGCAATAGACTTTTTTTTCTTCTATTTAGAAAAGTAGGCTTTTTGATTAGGTTTGTTCTATATATCCGCGTAGTGTGAGTCTTTCTGTAACGGGATTAATTATTTTTTTTCGGCTTCGAGCGTGCGTTCTTGAAAAATAGTGGGGAAAGTGTGAGTGGCTCTGAAATCGTGCTGCGTAATAGACTTTTTTGGCTTCTATTTCGAAAAGTAGGCTTTTTGATTAGGTTTGTTCTATATATCCGCGTAGTGTGAATTTTTCTTTAACGGGATTGATTACTTTTTTTCGGTTTCGGGCATTCGTTTTCGAATAATAGTACCAGAAGTGTCAGTGGCTGGCAGATCGTACTGCGCAATAGACTTTTTTCTCTTCTATTTCCGAAATTAGGCTTTTTGATTAGGTTTTTTGTATATATCCGTGTAGAGTGCATTTTTCCTTAACGGGATTGATTATTTCTTTTTGGTTTCGAGCATGTGTTTCGAAAGAATAATGACGTATTTGCGATGGGAATTGATTACCTTTTTTCGGTTTCGGGCATTCGTTTTCGAATAATAGTACCAGAAGTGTCAGTGGCTGGCAGATCGTACTGCGCAATGGGCTTTTTTCTCTTCTATTACCGAAACTAGGCTTTTTGATTAGGTTTTTTGTATATATCCGTGTAGAGTGCATTTTTCCTTAACGGGATTGATTATTTCTTTTTGGTTTCGAGCATGTGTTTCGAAAGAATAATGACGTATTTGCGATGGGAATTGATTACCTTTTTTCGGTTTCGGGCATTCGTTTTCGAATAATAGTACCAGAAGTGTCAGTGGCTGGCAGATCGTACTGCGCAATGGGCTTTTTTCTCTTCTATTACCGAAACTAGGCTTTTTGATTAGGTTTTTTGTATATATCCGTGTAGAGTGCATTTTTCCTTAACGGGATTGATTATTTCTTTTTGGTTTCGAGCATGTGTTTCGAAAGAATAATGACGTATTTGCGATGGGAATTGATTACCTTTTTTCGGTTTCGGGCATTCGTTTTCGAATAATAGTACCAGAAGTGTCAGTGGCTGGCAGATCGTACTGCGCAATGGGCTTTTTTCTCTTCTATTACCGAAACTAGGCTTTTTGATTAGGTTTTTTGTATATATCCGTGTAGAGTGCATTTTTCCTTAACGGGATTGATTATTTCTTTTTGGTTTCGAGCATGTGTTTCGAAAGAATAATGACGTATTTGCGATGGGAATTGATTACCTTTTTTCGGTTTCGGGCATTCGTTTTCGAATAATAGTACCAGAAGTGTCAGTGGCTGGCAGATCGTACTGCGCAATGGGCTTTTTTCTCTTCTATTACCGAAACTAGGCTTTTTGATTAGGTTTTTTGTATATATCCGTGTAGAGTGCATTTTTCCTTAACGGGATTGATTATTTCTTTTTGGTTTCGAGCATGTGTTTCGAAAGAATAATGACGTATTTGCGATGGGAATTGATTACCTTTTTTCGGTTTCGGGCATTCGTTTTCGAATAATAGTACCAGAAGTGTCAGTGGCTGGCAGATCGTACTGCGCAATGGGCTTTTTTCTCTTCTATTACCGAAACTAGGCTTTTTGATTAGGTTTTTTGTATATATCCGTGTAGAGTGCATTTTTCCTTAACGGGATTGATTATTTCTTTTTGGTTTCGAGCATGTGTTTCGAAAGAATAATGACGTATTTGCGATGGGAATTGATTACCTTTTTTCGGTTTCGGGCATTCGTTTTCGAATAATAGTACCAGAAGTGTCAGTGGCTGGCAGATCGTACTGCGCAATGGGCTTTTTTCTCTTCTATTACCGAAACTAGGCTTTTTGATTAGGTTTTTTGTATATATCCGTGTAGAGTGCATTTTTCCTTAACGGGATTGATTATTTCTTTTTGGTTTCGAGCATGTGTTTCGAAAGAATAATGACGTATTTGCGATGGGAATTGATTACCTTTTTTCGGTTTCGGGCATTCGTTTTCGAATAATAGTACCAGAAGTGTCAGTGGCTGGCAGATCGTACTGCGCAATGGGCTTTTTTCTCTTCTATTACCGAAACTAGGCTTTTTGATTAGGTTTTTTGTATATATCCGTGTAGAGTGCATTTTTCCTTAACGGGATTGATTACTTTTTCTCGGTTTCGGGCGTTCGTTTTCGAATAATAGTGCCGAAAGTGTCAGTGGCTGGCAGATCGTACTGCGCAATGGACTTTTTTCTCTTCTATTTCCGAAATTAGGCTTTTTGATTAGGTTTTTTGTATATATCCGTGTAGAGTGAATTTTTCCTTAACGGGATTGATTATTTCTTTTTGGTTTCGAGCATGTGTTTCGAAAGAATAATGACGTATTTGCGATGGGATGTGACACTCGAGTGCGTAGTTTCCCGTCGGCTCTTATCTTCACGAAATAGGGATCGCTGATAAAAATTTTTTTATTTAATTCCGTAGAATAAACTCTTCTGTAATAGGTTCAATGGTTTTCTTCTAATTTGGAGTGCGCGTTTTCGAAAAATAGTGTCGGAAGCACGAGGGGCTGTGTTAGACTAGTGCGTAATTTCCCGTCGGATCTTATCTTTTCGAAATAATAACCGCTGATATGAATTTTTCAGTTTACTTCGTTAGAATTTATTGAAAATTCTAAAAATTTATTGCTAAAATTCGTTTAATCTGGCTTTAAAAATAAATCTTTACCAAGTGATTGCAATTTCAGATCTCACCACGTGGAGGAAGTTATGCAATAGAAACTCTGGCCCAAAAAACCCAACCTATAGCATTGGCTTCACCATTGAGGCTATGGCCAACGATAATACCAGGGATCGACTCTACTGCTTCGTGTGCTTACGTGAAGAGAGGTAGACTACTGATTTTGCAAAGGTCTTTACAAGAGGAGTAGTGGCCCAACTGTTGATTATGTATACAGGTACATGCACAATTATGATCACTTTTGTCTTTAACATGATCAAAATTATAATTATTTCCTTCCACAGGTAGAGCGTGCACAATGTCACCTGCGATCTATGCTACATAACCAATATTCCAGACGGAACTATTGCTATATCAGTCATGCAAACATTTCACGAAACGAGACCCTACTGGCACCATCAAGTGTCAAAGATACGCTCCCTTTAAACGAAAACCTAAAGCTACGAAGAACTACAGAAATGATTTTTTATCCAGTATTTCAAGTACGTTATTTTACTATAAATTCGCAACAATGCTGGTCATTAGTCTCGATTATTCCTTAACTCACATTTCAGGTTAGAAAAACTCACGAGCAAGTAACAATAAAGTAGCTTCATCCGTTGAAAATAAACCTCGTAACTTTTTACGGAAAGCGTGCACAAGGAATTTATCAAGAGGATCAATTTTATAGCTAGGTAAAACTAATTAACTAACTTTGCAACCCCATTCGTCATTATTCTCGATTATCTTTTAACGCACATTTTAGGATATGAAAAACACACGAGCAAGCAACAATGAGGTAGCTTCATCTGTTGAAGATAAACCCCGTAACTTTCTATGGAAAGCGTGCACAAGAAATTTAACAAGAGGATCAATTTTATAGCTAGGTAAAACTAATTAACTAACTTTGCAACCCTATTCGTCATTATTCTCGATTATCTTTTAACGCACATTTTAGGATATGAAAAACACACGAACAAGCAACAATGAGGTAGCTTCATCCGTTGAAGATAAACCCCGTAACTTTCTATGGAAAGCGTGCACAAGGAATTTAACAAGAGGATCAATTTTATAACTAGGTAAAACTAACTAACAATCAGACACAATCTAATGCTCGAGAGGACCCTAAGAAGCCTCCATGCCTCCTTGACGTTTCGTCGAATGTTATATCGTTTCCGTACTTTCCGTCTTGATGAAACATCGTTAGACCATACATAATATTTCATCGTTGGACCTCCAACGTCGACGAACAGTTTTTACGTGCCTGCTCCTTAATCAGATCACGCGAGATCTGCTTCTAAAATTTTTCTTATGATATTTCTGTACCGGTCTCGTTACCATTATTCTCTGATACACGATTCGACGTAAGGATAACGCGATATCTCAGGTGATCCATTGTAACGAGCTTGACTTACCGAAGTTTACATTTTTAGCTACCTCTGCAGAAGTTACGTTTTGCCTCCCAATCGTTAGCTCGAACACAGTTTTATTGCGAAAGAACGTATTGTGTTCTTCGTTATAGCTGCCAGATATAACTACAGCGTAAAAAATTATTCTTATTTTTTGTATTTACGTGGTTCCAGAAATTTGAAATGTCTGGTTCCAGTAGTTATTAGATGATTAGTTTTTGTGAGATTACTGGCATTTTGTTATTATAGTTATATCTATTATAGTTATATCTGTTATAGTCATAGTTATATCTGTTTTTATCATAGTTATACATTATAGTTATTGTTGGTCGACTGATTTGATTGTTATTTGTATCATACTGAGGTTCATTATACTTTACATATTTTGTTATATATGCATTCATTAAGTATGTCTTTATAATATTTGTACGAAAAGAGGATTGAAAACTTTATTGAAAATGACAATAATGCGTTTCAATTGATCAATTCAATTGATCAATTCAATTGATGAATATATTGTGACACATGAAGTCTTTCATTTATTAATTTATCTATTGAAAGTAAAGTAAAGAAAGATTAAATGTGAAAAAAATATACAAAACAAGCATAAAATCGCAAATTTGGCAGGTGGGCTTAACACTGCTAAATTTATATCCACAAAATTTTCGAGAAATGACGTCAATGTTTTGAAATTCTAGAACTGAATCTTTCTGTGTGTCACCTGCTTTAATACAAAATCATGTTAAAAATTATATTAAAAGAGTAATCTTAAGTCAGATTTATGTTTGTTAGCTAGTCCATAGTAAAACATGAGAGTTAAACCTATTGTTATCGAGCATTACATATTATTGTTAAAATTGAGATTAATAAAATAGTTTACTTATGTTATAATCTTCGTCCCATAATACACGGAGTGGTTGAAATATGAGGAATGATTAAGAATCAATTATGTAAGATATCTGTTTGTTGTCGCCTTGAGTAGAATAACAGGAAAACATTTAAAATATAGATTGAAATTTTGTACTACGAAAATATTATACTACGCTTTATAGCAATATATAATACAAATTTGTAATCACCTGAAATTGTAATTTCCGAAAGTACGAACATAACTCTTTATTATTATAATTCTAACAATGTAACGAACGGAGTTATATAGTAAAATAATCTTTATATTTTACATTTATATATTTATATAAGAAAGTCTCTTAGTTCTATTTTAAATTATGTTATTTAAGTACACTATAATGTAATAATTCATATTTATTTCTATTGAAATTGTTCGGTAGTGTTATCCAATTTTAAATTATGTTATTTAAGTACACTATAATGTAATAATTCATATTTATTTGTATTGAAATTGTTCGGTAGTGTTATCCAACATGTTTGTATGTTCAATCAGAAAAATTGTATTCTATGAAAAATAAATTAAGCTTAAAGAAAAGATAATTTCTGTTTTCTTTTTCTTCACCTTATTAACAACTATAACACAGATCAGTTATTTCTACGTAATGATATATCAATTTTTAGTGTTTTTACTCAAATTTATTTTCTATTATCTTTAATATATCGCTACATGAATAAAAATAGAAACCTGTTTTACCTTATTATATAGAAAATCCAAGCGACTTTGATCAGCGCCATCTATGATTTTGGATCAGATGAGCAGAAATGTAATAGGATTATAGAATGTGCAAGGAGGTCGTCTGACCACGTCACGTGATAGACAAGGAAAGAAGACGGTTGGAAAAGGACAGAGTAGCTCAGGCAGGGAATATTCACGAATAACTCAATTTCTGCGAATAATTTATGAACTTTTATAATCTCATCGTAAAGCTGGAGCTCTGAGCAACATTCTTATATAACTTTTGTTCATAATTTGTTGCTAATTTTCTTGTCATTAATAACTACTTCATGGCGTGGGTAATTTGAAAACAACGCAGAAAATAATTATTCGTCAAAATAATTAATTATGTTCAAAACTAGAAGAAAAATATGATCAAAAGTAATATGAGAAGATGCGCAAGAATATTGTCTTTAAAATGAGTGCATAAAAGTCCGGAATTAATTTCTTGAAAGAAAGTTATTAATGAGAAACCATTGATATATTCGGCAATATTTCGCCCACGCCGTGAAATAATAATTAATAATCAATTAATTAAGAAGAAATTAATATCGAATAGTATATGTGAAAGTTCGCCAAGGATCTGGCTTCAAGATGAGATTATAAAAGTTCATAAATTATTCGCAGAAATCGAGTTATTAATTAATTTTCCACTGCCGAATTAATTTGTTAGTAACCGACTGAGTTGAAGTCAGTGCCACCTATGATCTTCTAGCCGAAGCTCAGGCTTGGCGCAAAAAGGACAGATGGCGCAAGTGTCTTCGAATACCATTGCTTGCTAGACGAGGTCAGAAGACGGTTAGAAAAGGACAGAGTAGCTCAGGCAGGGAAAATTCACGAATAACTAAATTTCTGCGAACAATTTATAAACTTTTATAATCTCATGGTAAAGCTGGAGCTCTGAACAACATTCACATATAACTTTCGTTCATAATTTGTTGCTAATTTGCTTGTCATAAATAATTATTTCATGGCGTGGGTAATTTGAAAACAACGCCAAGAATAATTATTCGCTATAATAATTAATTATGGTCAAAACTAGAAGAAAAATATGATCAAAAGTAATATGAGAAGATGCGCAAGAATATTGTCTTTAAAATGAGTGCATAAAAGTCCGGAATTAATTGCTTGAAAGAAAGTTATTAATGAGAAGCCATTGACATATTCGGCGATATTTCGCCCACGCCGTGAAATAATAATTAATAATAAATTAATTAGGAAGAAATTAATATTGAAAGGTATATGTGAAAGTTCGCCATGGATCTGGCTTCACGATGAGATTATAAAAGTTCATAAATTATTCGTAGAAATTGAGTTATTCGTGAATTTTCCCTGCCTGAGCTACTCTGTCCTTTTCTAACCGTATCCTGTCCTTGTCTATCACGTGACGAGGTGTAAACGACCTCCTTGCACATTCTATAATCCTATTACTTTTCTGCTCATCTGATCCAAAATCATAGATGGCGCTGATCATAATCGCTTGGATTTTCTGTCCTTGTCTATCTTATTGAAGGTATTAGGGCTGTATCAACGGGTTCCATTAAGCGCATATTGAGTTTATTTGTTAACAGAATTCGTACATTCATATTTTACTTATGACATTTATTTTAATTCCTTGCTATTTTTACAATTACATTAAGGAACGTACAGTAATTACACGTAAACAATATTTATTATTAATTTTGTGAATTTATTTTAGCTAATAATATATTTATTATTAATTAATATATTATTTATTGTTCATAATTTGCACAGTATAAAATTTACAATTGGAAATCAAAACAATGAATAAATAACACCGTTATAAATACAAGAAAGCGATACATATATACTTATGTCGTTTATCTGTAAAGTCATAATAAATTTTTCTTTTTCGTAGACTTTATACATAACTCCATTCCACTTGGTACTGTGATTACGCCTAGTTACGGCACTGTCACGGGTAAAGAAGGGAGTAATTGCTGCACTAGTTGTAAAATGGCGGTAAACCTCCGTATACACGTTATCAACTAATATATTCTCGATTTAATCCAATTAAAAACTGTTTCAACAGTCCATTTCAAATCTTGTATAGTCTCTGAAAGATTTAAAAATGTCTTTTTTACGTGGATCAACGAATTTTGTTTGGTGTACAACTAGTGTTCTTGGTAAAGGTGCAACTGGTGCAGTTTTTCAAGGGGTAAATAAAAATAATGGGGAACCTGTCGCAGTTAAAACGTTCAATCAGCTGAGTCATGTACGACCACACGATGTACAAATGCGAGAATTTGAAGTTCTTAAAAAGGTGAATCATGAAAATATTGTGCAACTGTTAGCAATCGAAGAGGAACAAGATAATCGTGGCACAGTTATTGTTATGGAACTTTGTACTGGAGGCAGCCTTTTCAATATTTTAGATGATCCAGAAAATACTTATGGGTTAGCAGAAAGTGAATTTTTATTAATCTTGGAACACGTAACTGCTGGAATGAAACACTTGCGTGATAATAATTTAGTGCATAGGGATTTAAAACCAGGTAAAAGATTACATATAATATAAAAATATAAATCGATGGCAGTATAAATTTTAGAAATTATATGTCTAATTTATCTATATGTATGTATATATATATATATAACTAAAGAATATATCATTTCTTTCGTAGGTAATATAATGAAATTCATTGCTGATGATGGGAGTACAATTTATAAACTTACTGACTTTGGTGCTGCTAGAGAATTACAAGAAGATCAACAATTTGTATCTTTGTATGGTACAGAAGAATATTTACATCCAGACATATATGAACGAGCAGTTTTGCGAAAACCTGTTAACAAAACATTTAAAGCAACTGTAGACTTATGGTCTATAGGTGTAACATTATATCATGTAGCTACAGGAAATTTACCATTTAGACCATTTGGTGGTCGAAGAAATAAAGAAACAATGTTTTATATCATTACAAAAAAACCATCTGGTATTATATCAGGTGTACAAACTTCTGAAAATGGACCCATTGAATGGAGCAGGGAATTATCACAAAATTGTCAGTTAAGTGCTGATTTAAAAAAAATTGTAACACCATTATTAGCTGGCTTACTAGAAGTTGATTCTCAAAAAATATGGAGTTTTGAACGATTTTTTTCAGAAGTAACTGATATTCTTTCTAGAAAACGAATACATATATTTAACATTCATAAAGGTAGTCTAATAAAAGTATTCCTACATCCTGAAGAAAAACTGACAGCACTTCAACTACATATACAATATCAAACTGATATTGCTCCTCATGCACAGATACTTCTTTTTGGCAATACATTTATAACAAATATTATTGAAGAATCTACTCCTGGAAAAGGTTATCCAAATACATCTGAGAGCAAGCCATTAATGCTATTTTCAAAAGACAATAATAATGTTGATTTGCCTGTGGATGCAGAATTACCAAAATTTCCAGTATTTGCAAATTTAATATCTGTTGAGAATGATGCAAGCCAAGCAAAAGTTGCTTGTTCTGTTGGTTATGTTTGTAAAAGAAGAATTGACAAATTAGTATTACGTAGTAAATTAACACAGGATGCAATAGAGGCATTTAGTGGACTTCTCTCAACAGAACTTGCAAGATTATTACAAAAGTGTCAATATTCCAAGGAGTTTACAAAAGCTGTAGAAGATACAGCTATAGCAATAGAAAGAAGTGAAAATCTTGCTTGGCAAATTTCTAGAAAGCTTGGGAATCAAAATAGTTTAGAGATCAAAAATTGGAAAAAAGAATTGGATTTAAAGAGTAAAGAATTTTTGACTGAATTAGCTCCTGCAGTAGTACAGCTTCACCAGAGGTGATTTTGTTGTCTCATAGGAATAATATATTTGATTTATTTGTATAAAAACGTTTGTATCTTTCAAATACAGATATGTGAAGGAAGGTAGTCTGCGTAGTGAATGGGATAATATTATTCGTGGATTGTGGTGTCCATGGATCAATAAAGCAAGCCAAAAGGCAACAACTTTGGTAGATCGTTTACGAGATGGCTGGCAACATTTATTAAGAGACAGAGTTACTCGTAGTCTTACATACAATGATGAACAATTTCATGTTCTAGAAAGAATGAAGGTATTTTTTTCAATATAAACATAATATGTAGGCAAGGAAACAATGCAGTATAGTTAAACAGTATTTATTTTTTTTATCTTTCTTCTCTTATTTCAGATTACATCGACGGGTCAAAGAATAAAGAATTTACTTGAAACATTTTGTACACTTTCTATGACTAGTAGATCTGAATGTGTCGCTGATTGGTATAAAATGGCACAGACGGTCTTTTTACAAACTCAAATTTTAGATAAAGATGTAGATAATTATGAACAAATTTTAGAAGCATATTCTTGTCGTTTGTCGCAAGAAAGCAAGGAACATTATGAGAGCTTTTTACATTTAATAGATAGAGTCCCTGAGAAATTAGAAACTATTGAAAAAACTAATTTACCCGCCCAAGAAAATACAAAGATATGGAAAAATATTTGCGTCACACAAGAACGAATCGCGATGCTTCTACACAACAATGATTTACTTATAGATCAACTCGATCGTTTATCAACAATTGATAGTTTGGAAGATACAAACAACTCAAAATATACATCACATTAGCAAAACATTCCTTAATTTTTGTTATCTTTTTGATGAGAGAAAGACTGATTATAAATGTAAAATAAATATAGAGAAAAAATAATTTCCTTTATATATTACATAGCTTAATAATGATTTGATACGTTTCAAGATCACAATTTTATTCATGATATTCTGAACAAATAAAAAGATGTAAAAGTATTCTATGTAAAATATGTACATATATTTTTTTTTCTTTTCTATAAAGAAGATATTATGAATTTGGATATATTATAAATAGCGATACATTTAATCCAAATACTGTTTTAACCAATTAATATGGATATTAATGTTATGAAAAAATAATTTATTTTAATGATTAATCTTATAATACTTAATAATTTTGTATTAATCTTTTTATTTTGTAATAAAAAGAAAAATACCATAAATGCATAGCTTTTTTCTTTTCTATTGATAAGTACATTCATATGATAAAAAAGTTTAAAAGTTTATATGTATATTCACACTAATTTACTTTTTGCTTAAATTACTATTTATAATTATTTAAAATTTAATATTACAAAAATGTTATTTATATATCTGCGTGATTTATATTTTTTTCTGTTAAATTTGTTAATCTCTGTTTACATTTTTGTTCTTTATGTTGTCTTTGAATAATATGAAAATGTTTCAGTAACCCCGAAAAATCAAATTTATTTTTAAAGGGTTTCAGATTAGATACTGATTTTGGTATAGATTTTGTTGTTGGTGGAATTGCTGCTAAACGTCTTTGTAAAGTTGCATATGCTTCACTTTGAGGAAGAATCATGAGCAGACCATAAAGTGCATATACTAGAGCATCATTATTTTCTCTTTCTAGAAGTTGTAATCTTAAATCTAAAATATATCATATTTTCGTAAATATTATTTAAGTACAATAACAATCCAATATACTTACAAGTAAATATTGGAGATTCAATCAACTGCACCAATTTATCTATTTCAGTGAGGAATTCCACAGTTACTTCTATGTTTTCACTGTATTTATTTTGAGTTAAGTACTACTAGAGTATAAAAAATTAATGTTAAATAGAGCATACTGAATATATGTAATAATAATAATAATAATAATAAAGGATACAATGATCGAATAATGTTACATGCATGTTCATAATGTTGTGATAAAAGGCATAATGCTACAGTTGCAACAGGATTGTGACACCAAGATACATATAAACATTCAAATAGCTCACAACTTTCCTGCAATAATATATACAATTAAAAATAATTAGATATACAAAAAATATAAGAAATACTTACTAAAGAGTCTAAGTCTTTAAGTTTATTGCGTAGATCAAATAATTCTGAACTTGTTAACAATATGACATTTAAAGTTTGTATCATTGTACATGCAAAACTTAAATTTGGTTCCTCCAATAATATTTTTGCTAGTGTTTTATAAATATCTTCAGCACTCAATAAAACACACAATTCTCTAATAATAAAGGCCCCTCTTTCTTCTAGCAAATGTCTGTCTGTTGAAAATAATCTTAATAAATTTACAATAAATTTAGTAAAGTATTTATTTTGTGTTTCTGCATTTGAATCTGTAATTGCTGCTTCAGGTGATTTTGAACTAATTATTTCAGCCATTACAACTAATGTTTGCTGCACTACTTCGTCTGAATTATCGCTTAAAGACTTCATTAGAATTCGAAATAACTCTTCAATGTGATTAAACATTTTGTGTGGAATGTTTATAAATAAATGATGAATCCACTTTAAAACAGCAACTTTTGTTTGGACTGACATGTACATTAAGCGCTTTGTTAACACTTCAACAACACTAGATAAATCTAAACTTTCAGCTAAAGAACAAGTTTGACTAGAATCTAAAAAAAAAATAGGTTTTTTTTTATTATTATTATATTTTAAATATTTTACAGTATTTTAAATGGACTTTAAGAAGCCTAGTTTTACCTTTTTCAATTGGAGCACCAGTTGTGTCAATATTATTTACAACTTCTTTATTTTCCATGGTTATCAATTTCATCAAGTTCACATTTACTTGTGTTGCAGTCTCTTTAATACTTTTCCTATTATCTCCATCATATGCTAAACAAGGTAATACTGCTACAAGAATACCAGACATATAAGGAAGCATCAGATGACCTGATAATTGTATAAATTCCTTAATCCAAGTAATTGCTGTTAATTGCATTAATTCATCTGTACTCTGGGCATGTGTAATTAATATATTTATCATTCCAGGAAAATCTACTCTTCCAGGGTTAGCTTTTATACTCCTTAAAAATTCACCAAGAACTGTGTCAGTAACTTTTTTAATTTCTGGTGCTGGATCATCTAATATTCTAAATAAACCATCAAGAATTTCAGGTAGGAATATGATAAAATCCATGTTAGGAACAGCATCTAAGACAGATACCCATGCTATTACAAATTGCCTACCAAATGGATTTTTGGTATAAATACGTTCTCGTAATAAGGGCATAAATCCAACTAAATCAAATAAACCACTTTCTGTTACAATATCCTGAAATAGAGTTTAAAATCAGTACTTTTATACTATATATTTCCTTGTATTTTGGAAACCTTAATTACCTTCATTAATCTGTCAAGCACCTCTGTAGCATTTTTTACACTTTGCTCTGAATCACATGCTAATTTACTAAGTGCTGCAAAAATATCTGTAAATTGTGGTAGGACAGCACCTCTTGCTACCTTTACTACATTATATAAACTTTCACAAGCATAATATCTTACACGTAAATCGGAATCACAGAAACAAGCTAGAATAGGATGAATTAGATCCTCTATGTATTGACCAGTATCTTTCCCCAAACCTACTGCTGTTGCTGCTAAACCTATTAAACCACCTTTTCGTGTATGTGGATTTTGTGAAGTAGCAAGATCTTGACCTAACACTTTTAACAGTCGTTTAATTTGAACAGTATTATTGTGTAAAGCAAATTCTTTTACCATTCTGAAATACAATATGATTAATAAATATCAAGAATAAAAAATATTAAAAATAAAGAATAAAAACAGAAGTAAACAAAATGTATAACCTTACTTTTCAATTTCCAAAGCAGCAGCTTTTCGTTTTTCATAAAGCTTGTCATTAAGGGAACGAACACAAGCAGCACTAAGTGGTGTGATATCTCTTTCAGACATCATTTCTTAATGTTAAAATTTTTAAATGACAAAATTATACATTAAAGTTCTACGAGAAAGTGACAGCTGATATCTTACTGTCCCAACTACAAATCACACGATATCATTACTATTAGCACATGAGTGTTTATATAATTCGTATCAATGTATGTGAGTTATGTACATGCGCATATGTGTAATTTTATTCCTATTTTATATATACATTTCTTAAATTTTCTGATTTAAAAAAAACGGCGTAACCCGATCCTTTTAAAAGTAATAATAGCAAGCGTTGGTTGTAGAGTATTTTTTTAATAATTTCTTCGAATTATAATATATCTAATTTTTTAATAATAAAGTATAATTTTATAAATATTTGAATTTATTTGACATAAATTGGATTTTATGAGGGTTTACTTTTGTTTAAAAATCTTATTTAGTTTATATATTATCATATAGTATTAATACAATTGATAATACAGATGAGAATTTGAGTTTATATATAGTATTACAAAATTATTACGACATTTTTTAATAAAGTTTGTTTCAAATTTTAATTTTGAAATATGTAGCTATTTTAATTTCAACTACCGTACTTTATGTATATAATGAAAAACCGCGCTAGGTAAAATTTTGTTCGTGCTATAATATTTCGAGTGGGAATATTAGTTTTTTCATGATTTTGTTATTTTATGTATATGAGAAAGTGATTTAATAATAAACATTAATTTTCTGCTATTTATAAACTTTCTTTTCAATATGAAATAAATTTAAATACATCGTACTTGTGATTTAGCATTAAGTAACTTCATAGTATATTGTAAATATCTTGTATTTGTATATTTTCAAGGTTAGGCATTAATAGATCATCCAAGAGTTATGTTGTTATTATATTCTAACGTGTTTTATTGTAAGACTTTAGTGTAATTAAAGTCTATTTGTACATTAACAACAATAAAAAATGGAACAACTACAGACTGCATTAACAGCAATTAAAGTATTACGATCAAGTGTTGGCCAAGTCTTTGATTCCTTAGGAAATGGGTTACGTGCTGATCATGGAGAAGAAAATAAAGAGAATAAATATTTGCTTGAATTGCAAGAACTTTTAACAACTGTCAATGCCAATTTAAGGTATTATCTTAAGATTTTTTAAAATATATTTAATTTAAAATTACAAAATATTAAATAAATTTTTGTATTTAGAGATGTTGAACAAGCTGTAAGCAGTTTAAATCCACCACCAGGACCATTTAATTTAGCAAGTACTACATATCTTAGTCAAGAAACAACACAAGAAAGACAAGCATTATACAGTACATTAGTCAATAGTTACAAATGGACAGACAAAGTTCATGAATATAGTAATGTTGCTCAAGCATTACTTAGTCAGAATTCTTTAAAAAGATCTTACAATACTACCAGTAGGGCAAAAAGAGGTAGAATCCAAACAAGTAACCATAATGTTCCTCAGCAGTAAGTTAAACTCTTTTAATTTCTTAACTTGTAATTTATTATTTGTAGGTAGTATGATTTAAATTTTAACATTATTAATATATCTTATTTTCTATATAGACAAGTTGATTCTTTAATAGCCACATTTGACAGACTTTTTAATGATATGACAGTATCTGTATCTCGACCATTTGCATCAAATGCAGTATTACATGTTACATTAGGACATGTATTGAAAGGAGTTATAGCATTTAAAGGTTTAATGATTGAATGGGTTGTAGTTAAAGGTTATGGAGAAACTATGGATTTATGGACAGAATCTAGACACAAAGTTTTTAGAAAAGTAACAGAAAATGCTCATGCTGCAATGTTACATTTTTATTCACCTGCATTACCTGAATTAGCAGTTCGATCATTTATGGTAAGGAAATATGTAAGAAAATTTACATAATGAATACATTAATGATGTCAAAATTTAACTGATTCAATGTCATCATTTTTTTTTGTAGACCTGGTTTCATAGCTTAAATAATTTATTTAGTGATCCATGCAAGCGTTGTGGTTTACATTTACATAGTGCTTTGCCTCCAACATGGAGAGATTTCCGAACTTTGGAACCCTATCATCAAGAATGTAAACCATAAGTATTCGTAATAAAATTCCAAATTGTAAAAATAATATTATATGTAATATACATTCATTCTTTTATAAAGTATATTTAATTTTGTACATTTGTCATGTAATACATAAAAATGAAAAAAAGATAATGAATATTTATTATATACTCCTTCCTACTTGGATAATTAAAAACACTGATATTACTTAGTAAATATTTTTATTTGTAGATTTTAAAAGATGTGTATGATCTTTCCACTTAAATTTATCTCTTCAGCTTAAATACATTAATTATAAGTAATTAAAATATTATAGACAATGGCTACGCATATATACAGTTGCAAATAAAACCATGTTTGCAATGTTACATGTTGGTATCTTTTTTACTAATATAAATTTTAAACAATATTGCAGAAATTATAAATAATTAAGATGTTTCCCTTAAATTAGTTTCTCGTTAAAAAAAAAATAGTGGACATTTATTTAATACTTAATAAACATGATAAAATATTTAATAAATATAAAACAAACGTGTACTTTTAATAAATTTGAAGATAGAAGATTCGCAAAAAATCAAAATTAAATATCTCTTTTAAATTAAATATTAATTTTTTATTTTATCCAATATCTGGAATATTTAACTTTAACTAAAATTGAATGTAAATTAAATAAAGTTTCTGTTTTAAATAAATGTTAAAAAGAATCGATATGAAATAGAATCTATACCAGAGAAACACTTATTTCCGTGTTAAGATTTACGTATAATATACAAATGAGCGGGCATACATTTTTTCTTGTCTGGGATATAATAGCTTTGCAATCGATGGTTTTTTCTTTATCTGTACCCTACGTATGTATACCATTCTTAATATTATTACATGCTATTTAGTTTTATATAACTCTAATTTATATTATGTAAATATAATTACGTTATAAGTACTTTTCACATAACTGTACACATTCACATTTGGAATATTGGCGCTCTCTGTGGAGCACAAGTCGTTTAAGTGGCAGTGAACTTATTTTACAAATTGTTATTCTAATCACTTTGCTGGACTGTTCCAATTTTTTTGTTATCTTTCTTTAAGGCTCTATAAACGTTGCAATACTCAGTGAATTTAATATCATATTATTGACTCGAAACTATATATGCAATCATTATTATATATAATATATATAATACATATGCATAATATTACAGTTTTACAGTTACTTATTATATCATTACGTGTGAATGAATTATATTGAAATTAATTTTTTGGTACGAGGAAGTGTTCTTTTTTAAAAGCACTTTGATCACCTACATATTACTTTAGACCTTCAAAAACAAGAGAAATGTCTCGTGTTTTGCAGAATTTATATGCATATATGGCATAACTGCATTTCATTATTATATCATCTAACGATACTAACCATCATTTTCATTGTGTCGAAAGTAGGAAAATCGTTCATAGATTATCTTTCACTTCTGTTTAGATGTAGATAATTTTCTGTTTGCTTCGAAATGTTCAGTGAACATATATCACAGCATGCCTTTTCTCAACAGGGAATAACGAAGAAAATCACGAGATACGAATTTTACGATATACTCAAACCCGAATCCGCGTCTAAGTATTTTAGATAATTTCTGTCACTAATTTACATATAGCTGAAAAAATGTCAAGATGCGAAAAGTAAATTTCTCATACTTCTAAAAATAACATTTTTAATGCGATATAGTTTTCTTTCGAATTCGACTCATCGACCTCATCGTTCAAATACATAATTAGTTTGAGCCGAAGTAATTGCAACTACGGTTATGCATAATTGTCGTGTTTAAGCTTGTAATAATGATCTTAAAAAATGGATATGCTACCATCACTCGGTTCGCGTTTATTGTACAACCATAACACGAGTGGGGAACGTATTTCATTTCTGTTCAACATACATGTACGATATTAACAAAGTTTGAGACCGTTATCATTAATCTGTTACATCGTGCCACTATAAACTAGTAGCTATGTACGTATGTATATCCCTAGCCTAAGTATCCATAATCAATAGTTGGAATTCTGACAATACTCTAATGCAAGGAAATCTACTTTAGCATATTTTCAGTTCAATAGCTTTATTGCCTTTTTCACTGATTTTGTATGACTTGGACAGCTTATAATTAAAAGTTTTTCTTTTATTTTCCTTTTTTTTTTCCCATTAAATTATAATATACGATTTACCGCACATGATGTTATTTATTTACTTTTTCCATTCTATTCTACGTATCGTATCACGATTATATCGCATATTTGAATAGCAAACCGATCTGAGATTGTTTAATTTATTTATAAGCTAACGCGAAAGAGTGAATTTACCGATGGTGTCAGTGTATTCTTTAGTGCGTATTATCTTATTTTCCAACAAAATTTGGAAACTGAAAGTAATTTAATCTATCTACATTTTCCAATCGACATTACGTACGAAAAAAAGCACGAAAACAATAAAAAGCTGAAACAGTTTAAATAATGTTCTAATTCTTCTTCACTTAAAGATCATGTCATTTTATGTCATTGTATAAGGTCTGTCTTATATCTAATCTCTGAAATAAGGAAATTTAAAGTTATTTCAGTTCTCCAACAGAAAGGGGGCGTATCGAAACAGTGTACAATGCTTCCGGTCAATGTCCGCCTTGTCAGTTCCATTAAAGCAATCAGTTGAAACGTTTGTGTATCGGCATCGAATAGGTATATCGCTCGATGTAATTAATTTTCGTGTAATACTATTTTGAATAGGGTGTTGGATATACTCTATCGAATAGTATACGATTATCATACATCTTCTTATGCAACGACATGGTAAGTACCATAGAAGTATACAGTATATACATGTATATACATATAAGGGAAGTTCCTCCCGACGAGTTCGCGTAACATCAAATGACGTACATTTTGGTGTAAAAAATCAACGACATAAAGTAGTAAGAAAAGGCATGCCTCTAAACGTACGAGGTATTATATAATTGTATTTCAAACGAAGGGGTTCGAGATTTTACGGAAAGTTCAGATATCTAATATCAAAACTGCCATTTAAAATTTGTCAATTAAAGTTTAATTCGCAATTTTTATTTTTATTCGTCATTAGTACTAATTTCAACTTGTAAAATGTTTGTACGAATGTTATCCGTTCAAAGTTCCAAAACAACTGGCTATAGAAGTAAACTTGTACATGCACATAATTCAAAACATATACTATCGCAATAAGCGATACCCGTTCGTTTGCATCACTTTGTCCTCGTACTTTTATAAGATAAAATGTCTGATCGATTTGTAAATGTTGTTTTTATGAGGCACCGCATAAGAACGACATTATCGTAGTTAACGTTTTTCACACTGTGACTGTGAAAGTGATAGACCGAGTTCATGTTCCAGTTTAACGTTAATCGAACAATAATTTGTTTTTTACCAGATCCGAGATTCGTTCCTAACTTCAGTCGTAAAATTCATCGAATTCAATTTATCAATAAATAGGACAACGCATAATCATAGTACAGTGCAACGACTTATAAAGACGACAGTGATACAAAATGACATATAATTCCAATAAATCCTATGAAATTAACGATATAAAAGTGAAGTATATAGATATACACCTTTCTTTTCGCTTCGGGGTTTCGTTAAACGAGATTCGTCGCATCTAGCAATTATACGTTCTATATTCTTCGATGTTGCACGAAGTTCGAATGCTCTTTAGTGATCACGATCCAACTTCTTTTACGTTTCCTTTCTTTTTCAAACGTATGCCTAGGCACGATCACTTTCGTAACATTTCGTTAAGATTCTTATCCGACGGTTTCCGTTACCGTGTCGTCTTTTATTCGTCTTTCCCTTGTCTGACGTATGGAAAAATTCGCGTGTCGTATCGAATTCGCTGCGTTTAATTCACCTATCAAAATCGTTTTGAAAAATCTCCAAGCCATCGACTAGTCTTTTCGCGGACCATCTGTTTACACATACTGTCATTACCGTCATCGTATCCGTTCGGGGAATTATAACTGCCAATTGTGACTTGTCTTTCGTGAAATCAACGTTTCGATCATGCGAATACATATTCGTTCGCGAAGTTAATCTCACGTGCGTGTATACTCGATATCGAACTGAATTGGGCCGCGTTAAAACGTTCGCAATCGACTTCTACTTGGTACTCGAATACAATCGACAGGTGATCTTGGTTCGATCTCTTCGTCCATCGAATCAAGCATGATTGCACGATACGTTATTCTCGAAATTCTCCGTGACACTCCAGCCGACAGTCGTCGCGTTCACTGCTCGACGTAAACTGTTTCGCAAGAAAGCCGCACAGGCCTTGCTCCTCTCCGTGATGATCTCGTACAGTTGATTTTCCAAAGTGAGGCTGTTGGTGGTGAGTAGTAGCGGCAGTGGGATCGACGCGTTCATGATCACTAGATTACCAATATTAAGAGGAGCTGTTTCCCATTGTCAGACACCGCTGTTCGGAAAGCGTGGCGGGGGAAGCGGGGGCGGTGGTCTTTCCGGTTGAGCGGGTGCGCCGGAAGATCGCTCTGATCCAGCTGCAAACACAACTGTTCACCCACATTAATCAGATGCACATTTCCATCGCGTTTGCAATACTTGTTACACTACTCTTGGCATTCATCTACTAAACCGTTTCAATTTAGATAGACAACAAATAGCAAGCTTCTACGATTCTTGTAGAAAGAAATTGTTGAAAAGGAAATTGAGCAGTTTCTTACAATCAGTATTACTCTCTCGAGTCGTTTAGAGATGTTCAGGCGTTAAATCGGTGGTCCGATTTATTTCTATTTGTATATGTAGACATCCAGAGATGAAGTAATCGTTATCGAGTTAAAATTCTAGCGTTCTATTATTTTCCTTTATGATCGTGATTCGAATGTTTTATTTACGTAATTTCCTAAGTGTTTGTATATATGTAAATCAATGTAATTTCGATATGTCCATGTGTTGTATGTGGAATATATTTTTGTAGCGATTACTAGTGAAGTAAAAAAGTTACTTTGTTCGTAACGAATGTCTTGCATATTTGAAACGTGGTAAACGTGTATATACCTGTATTTTATTAAAAAATTATTCGATATTCTTCGGCTTGAAAAATATAGAAATTCCTTTTTTCGTTATCCAATGCTGTATTTAAATGATATATTATTGTTTCTATATAAATGTCTTAAAGATTAATGCCTTTCGTTATGTTATTTCTAAATCTCGACGTATATTAAAAAATACCTGGAAAATACAATATATAAAAACCACTTAATATTATAATTACAAACATTTGTGTGATGTGCTTATGAATATTAATTTGTATGTAATAGATATATGTTATGTTCATTTAGAACATTATTCGTGTTCACAGAAATGATTGCATCTAGCAGGAAAACTGCGACTTTTGTGATATTCTATCCTTTGGTATTTATTTATGTAAATAGTAAGCTCGAGGATGAGAAAATTTCGAAATAAAAATGCGCAAGTTTAATATTTACTATTCAGAATCTTTTTTCTTTTTCTTTTTTCTTTTTTTCTTTTTTTTTCATTTTTAATCTAGATGAAGTAAATTACATTCATGCGGACATGCCCATTACACCATTCATGCTCCAACTGCGGTATTATTGAAGTCGGTTTTACAGTTTCATATAAAAAATAATAGTAATGCGATATAATTTATTTTTAAATCTTGTAAATTTAACATTCATATGACTCCTCATTTTTTTATGCCTTTACATTTACAAATCGATCTGTGGAGACCATATGTGTTAATGTAAGATTCTTAATGGCCTACCTCTATTTAAACTACTACAAAGGCCAGTGTTAATAGCGCATAGTATATATATATACATATATATATACTCTTAGAATGGAAATGAAGCCAATATATCTACCAATTATATTTATAAGAATCATAGAAATACTTAGAATTGACTAGAATCAGATATATAATAGGACAACAGATTATCATACTGCACACAGATGACAGAAGAGAGACATATATATATATAGAAATCATAGAGCTTATAATGCTGAGAGTTTGGTGAACTATGATAAAAAAGGGGTTAGAATAAAGTACGTATCTATATCTATTCACAGTATTTCTTAATATTTACAGTAGCCTATTACTTGTATTCACATCATATGGTGGCTGAGTCAGGAATATAAGCTCTATATGCAAATGAAAGTACTTCAACTATATCCAACTTTTAATTGAGTGTAATGGTGTGAGTGTTTGGCTGAAGCAGTGTGAGTTATGAAAAGCTAAAATAGAACTATGACCGATGAAATGCAGATAGTTACATAGAGTGAAAATGAAATTTGAACAGTTAAAATTTTTCGGTAGTAATGATTTTTTCCTGCTAAAAGAAGAACACGTCGTTTAATAATAAATTTGAAATCTGAAATAATTCGCGCTATATATTGCTCTGATTTATGAGATCATCGATTTCTAGCGAATCTCTTGTCATGGAGTAATAGAAGATGAATAATTAGAAACGAACAATTGGAGAATGAACATTTACAAAAGATACTGGTGTAATTTTAAAATTCTAACGTCTTATATGTATAATACATCTGCAATCAGTGATAATATGATTAAAATAGCTTCTTGTCATTTACAACAGAATTATGTTCGATTGCACTCCTCTAATCTGCTATTGTCAACACGAAAATATAGGTAGTGTGATATTGCTCTCTGCTAGGACCACTTGTATGTCTTGTAGTAGCGAAGCAGCAATGTAATTTTGATTTCATATAATCAGCACTTTGATTCCTCTGCACATTTGAATCATACTGAAAGCAGAAAAATAATAGTCGCAAATAAATTTAAAACGAATGTATCACAATGAAACTACAAATAAACAAAAGTTACGAACATACATAAATGGCATTATGACATGCACAATGACAGGTAGATGGAATAAGCGACGAGTAACAAACAATTCTTTGAAAATTGACGAAACCTTCGTTGCTGGATTCGAATATCACGGTGATTTAAAAATACGCTATTATAAATACGATATTTCGTGGATAATTGATGGAATATATCGTTGAAGGAAATTTCAAGAATTGTTTGTCACATAAAGACGGAAATGGCTATATGATGACAGATGACTGTGGACGATTTTGGTCAGGTTTTTAAGCCTTACATGAATCAGGATGTGGCTTCTCCTCGGCCACCATCAGGGCTGCACTCTCTGCTGGCGGTATGTGTCCCTCTAATGCATTCACACAGTTTAGCATGCTCCTGTAAAACATCACGCGACTTGTCCAAGTTTCCGCTTCTTCATACATGTCTATTGAATCTTTCCTTCTCTCATTACATTCCAGATCTTCGTCGAGGGCATCGATTCAACATGCACCGACGTCGTAGAACCATGAGAAAACAGTATCGCGGCTTATCAATAACTCGTCATTGTAAGTTACATATCCGTCTTTTTATTTATTTTTTTTTATTTTATCCTAATTGACCTGGATTTGAATTTGAAAATTTTAAGGTTTATCATGTACCTCCTCGTTCGTGATTATTACCATAGTTTATATTTTATTTTAATCTATTTTTCTGTGGCACGTTATAACAATACCCTTGTAAAGCTACCATTAGTCGAACTTTAATTTTGCCCATTTTCCTTCGTACTTAATACAAAATGACTGTCGCAACGCATACGTTTATTAGTAAACGTTTTATTTACTTGCATATTTGTCCCGACATGAGCGTACATATTTATACACGTATTCGTAACAAGAAATGATAATTCATTTCACAGTTTCTAGCCTTGTAGGATTACAGTGATTCACTGGCCTGTGTAGTAGACTTCAAACATGTTCTTATCGCCTGCATAATTATCGAACTTCAATATTACTATTTATACTTTTGGATCGTATCGAACAGAGAGTCCCGAGGACTCGTTCTTAATCGTCGAGGAACTAAAGACAAAATGGACAAAATGCGCGAGGAGATCTTTCGATCTCTTCAGCGTGACGAATATTCTTAACTGACTATCCCTGCAAGGTAAACGAAAATTAGGTCAAAAAGCTTGACCAACGATAAAAAAAACTCCACGTCGAGGTCGCATGTACGAGTGGAAGAGAACTGAAACCGGTAATTAAATAAACAAACAGATTTATTTTACAACATAGAATATGTGTATGTATATATATATATATATATGTATATACATA